TAATAATAATAATAATAATTCATTCCTGTTTAGGTTGACAGAATTTCAGGGAAATCTCAAGAGAACGGTGTTGCTTCTCAGGGTAAACCCAAACTCCACACTGTGACGATCCTTAAGCCAATCAGACAGGCATGAGAATTCTGATATAATTTCTGTCCCTCCTTGTTCGAAATTCAGTTTTAGTTGTCCTCCATTACTCTTTCCCTCACCTAATCATGAGATGTTAATCCTTTTACGTATTGCCACCCTCTTCTCTCACTATTTCCTCCATTTCTATAAAACAGCAGCGGGCTGATTTATTTTTCAAGGTTGCCAACGTCTTTTTACTGGTCTTGTGCCTGTGTCTTTAGCAGCTTTTTTTTTTCCACATCAGATGAGCATGTGCAATTTTTCCCTGGCATGGATGGAAAGGGAGAAGCAAGCTTAATTGCTTTTCATTTCCATTTTATCGTGCCTTTTGATAAGGACACATAAAGAAAGCGAGGAGAATCAGCAACGCCTTCCCCCATGTATTCCACGATGCAACTGATGGCAAATGAGGACCAGCAAAGCGGTCCCTTGGAGCTTCACCGGCAGCTTCTGATCATGCGCTGGAAATCTACGCATGCTCATTGTCGACAACTAAAAGACGGCAGTTTTCGGCGAGGCCTCTCCTTGACTCCGCCCCGCTCCTTCTCCCGTCGAGGTGACCAACCAATCGTTTCGCCCTGTCCTTCCAAGGTCCACGCCCACAGGACCTCAAGGCCACGCCTACCCCTTATTAACTTCTCGCGGCCGCCTCGCTGGCGCGGTCCTGAATTCTGCGGGCGCGCGCCTTTCATTATATGGCGCTTGAGCAAAGGCGACTCTGAGGGGACAAAACATCTTTTTTGATGTTTTAATATTTAGTATCAGTATTTTGGGGAGGTTCAAGTTCTCCTCAGCATTGACCTCTCTCCTTTCTAAAGAAAAGTACGAAGCCCACAAAGTATTCCCGTTTTATTCTTCCTGGTATTTTATTCTTTTATACACCTTCCCCTCCCCCCTTATTTATTCGTTATATGACCTCTGTTACCTCATGAAATGTTAAGAAAAGTTACCACACAAAAATGAAACAGCCAACAGATGCTTTCCTCTTCTGAACGACCCATCCCTCAGAGCACAAAAGTTATTTTTTTAAAATTGCTTCCCCTGCACTTCCTTGCACAGAAACCTGTACCCCTTTTCAGTATTTTTCTAAAAGTGCAAAAACAAATACATGTACTGTACTTTTTTGGGCTCCTACGGACCCAGACCTCACAGGTCAGTCCTTTCAATAGGCAGCCACGAACCCTCCATCTTCAGGGTCACTGAAAAGGGCCACTAAAACCCCACTAAAAAGGATGTCTCCCCATTCAGATTTACCCACCATTTAAATTTTTTCAGCCCTTGAAGGAGCCCCTTTAAAACCAATCATCCCCACATTTCCCAGAACTGGGATTGAACTTGCAAAGAGGCATCTTGTTTTGGTAGGAAGGTTGCCTCTGGTGGGTCCCAATAATGCCACTTCAAAATCTCTCTTAAAAAAAACTATGTACTGTATATATTTCTAGTTTTCCTTCAGACCTCTTCTCACTTCTGCTCTTCAGCCATGCCAAGGAGAAGCTTCATCCCCATAAAATGCTCCTACACAAAGAAATAATGGCTTAACCTGCATATGACAGATTTGTTAAGATTTTCCTCTCCCCACTGTGTTTCTAGGGAGCAATATTAACTCTTTCAAAATAAAAACCATAGACATTTCTCTCTACTACGATTTTGTATTTGATTCCAGTCTTTGAGGGGGAAAATCTCCTTCCTCTACAAACTCCTTCTTGATTAATTTTGGGTTTACCATGAGATAATCCAATTAAAACTGAGAGTTTTGTGTGTGTGTGGTTTTCTTAGTGTAAATCCTTCAGATTACCTCATCTTTGGCCGGGTCTCCTTTCTCATGTCACCGAGCCCCAAGAATTTAACTTTTCTTTATATATCTCGTTGGTGAACTGTCATTTTGAGGCTACTGAGTTATTATCTTTTTCTGATTATATCTCGGGCCTTCAACATCCCCATAAGATGATTCTCATGGGTGTCACCGAGCCCCAAGAATTTAACTTTTCCTTATATATCTCTTTGGTGAACGATCATTTTGAGGCCACTGAGTTATTATTATCTTTTTCTGATATCCCTCGGGCCTTCAACATCCCCATAAAATGATTCTCATGGGTGGGGAAGTTCAAAAAGCAAGTCAGTTCATGAGCGCCCCATAATATCTTCCATTACTAGTTGATCTTTCTTTTCTTTATTTGCACAATTTAAAATTATGGGCATATCTGAAATATGTAAAATTAAAAACAAATTAGAATGTCGAGCTAATTAGACTATTTTGACCAGAAGCAGAATACTTCAATGGTGTTAGCTCTGCCATTTGCTAGATTTCTCTCTCTCTCTCTCTTTTGTACATGTGGTGGGGCATAAATTGTATGCACATCAGCTGATATACAGTGACTTTCCCCATTTTGGATGGGTGAAGAATCTTCCACCCCTGCCGCCATCTTGAATCCTGTTATTTGTGGTGGGGCATAAATTGCATGCACATCAGCTGATATACAGTGCCTTCCCCTATTTTGGATGGGTGAAGAATTTTCCATCCCTGCCGCCATCTTGAATCCTGTTATCGTTCTCCATGCACCTACTCAAAACCCTCATTCATTCAAGTTCTGCTCCATGGTCTCTGTGGGATTTCCATGAACTTGCCTTTCCCCTCTACCTTTTAGTTCCCACACCTGCTTTTGCTTCCCCAGTTTCCAAAATGGAAGGCAACAGCTGCCTTGACATCTGCTCAGAGCTGGGATGTTGCTCTCACCAGCTCCAGGAGGAGAGCTTGTCTTACAAGCCAAGCGAGCACAGCTACCAAGCTGAACAGAGTTCACTGGCCATGTACGGAGGGCAACCTGCCAAAATTTGGACAGCTGTCATGATATCAGCTTTGCAGCTTGCAAGTGATGTAGACCCATTTTATGTTCAGCAACTGCTCTTTGTTAATCCTCAAATTAATCCCAAAACTGTCTTGTACAGCCATTTTTATGTGCTTTAGAGCTTGGTAGGGTGGCTTTTAAAAATAAATCCCAGAATTCCCAGCCACTATGAGCACCAAGAGCTTGGAAATGTTACATTATGAGATTACAACTCCCTAAATTTCTACCCGCCTAGTAATGGAGAACCATGGGGATGTTACTTTTTTGAGACTGTAACTCCATAATTTCTAACCTGTCTGCTGGCTAAGGGATTCTGGGAATTGTAGTCCAAAATGTATTTATTTGTTTGTTTGCTTGTTTGTTTGTTTGTTTATTCAATTTATATACCGCTGCCATTATGCCAAGACACTACTCTGGGCAGTTACAATAAATATAATACAAAACCAGATATGAAGTTAAAAAGACTAAAAACAATTAGCAAAAAAGGTATCATCTCCCAACTCTGGTTTCTTCACTGGGAACATCCTGTCTCTCATCTTCTTTTTCTTTATGGCTTCTATATGCCCTTACTTTTCCTTGTTTAAGCTGATTTCCCCATACTCTCTATTTCCTTTTTATATCATATATGAGTGAAGAATAAACGAGATTTCTGTCCCCCTTCATCCCTTTCTATTATAGATGTGGGACCAAATTGGACGTGTTTGCCCTGAAGAATTGCAATCAAACAGCAAGAATTTCAAACAGAACTTAGGTGACAGGTGAGGGAGAAGAACATTTATGGAACATTTACATGTGGGTCTCGCTCAGATGTTGTGTTGGCCCAAAGCTGGTGTGTTTGTGTTGCCATGTCACTCCTCCTACAAAGAGCAGTAGCTAGACAAGCTATTGAGTTCTGTTCATGGGTTTGTTTATTCTTGTGTGCAACCTGGAAACCCTCAATTATCTCGCTCCCAGCAAGTGGTAGTCAGAAATCAAAAACAAACTGTGCTTTATGACTCTGGCTTGTCAGAGGAGAGACAAGCCAGGGTTCTCAGTTCACAGTGGGATAATAAACCAGGAACGGAAGCTCTCCAATTTGTTCTTTTGCTTCCATTTACAAGAGGGCTCATGTTTTGAGTGAATGAAAATCAGACACTGGTTCTAATAAGCTAGTATTCTATAAATGTTGACTTATTTATTTACGGTATTTATTTGTACCCTGCCCATCTAGACTGAAGTCATTTCTGGGTGGCTTATTGTGATATACAAGTGCAATATGGCAGAATTCAAACATAGCTAGATCAGACTAGCAGTGAATTTAACATAGGCGGACCTAGATTTTGTATAAATGTGCCTGAGATTGAGCCCTGTTAACTTGATGGTCCAAATCCTACTATTTTTGTTTTCTGCACATGAAGGTAAAATCATGTAAGTGGTTCACTGAGGCTGCTTAATTACGTCCCATCACATGACCAAGCCTGCAATTGACATGTTGTTAATTAGCCTCAGTTAGATGCTGTAACCTGTATGCTATGTGGAGAGAAAAAAATATTCTGGCCAATGGAAGTTGCCACTGAGTAGGGGTGCCTAAGATTACTCTGTAAATGCATATCTGTCTGTTGGTTTAATTCAGAGTACTGTATGAAGAACTGCCTCTGTAAAATTGACACTGTAAATATGCAAGGTATTATTTTCCTCTCTTGCAAGTCTTCAGTGAGTAGAGAAGGTATGCAAGCCACTGAAACTGCTTTCAGTGTTGCTAATGCAGCATTGAAAGACAGAAAGCTGCTTTTAAAATAATACTAATTTTAAAGATCCTAAGAGTAACTAGATGCTGAATTCTATACTCTTGTGTGTCACAGCACAGACCACACAGCTTATCCTGATTATCATCCTCATGTCACTATTGACAAACAAAAGCAAGCACCTGCATTTTTATTTTATTTTATTTTAATTATCAGTAGAGTTTGGAAAGAAAGGCTAACTTTCCTCATCTCTCTTTCTCTCAGCAGAAGAAAATGTGATAACTATGCCAACACCCTTAAAGAACTGGCAGGAATGCTGCCTATCCCTTTGAGAACTAACTGCAAGAGGTTGACAAAGGTACTGTGTCACTGGATTTACTGTAGACATTGAAGGGATACTGAGATGGCAGTATTTGACTTGCACAGCTGATAACTGGCCTTCACTGTTTGGAAAGTTTAATATGTGCAGTACCAGGCGGTGAGGGACTACTGTTCTTAGACCTTATAAGAATAAGAATTTCAAATGTTCTTCTTTCTATTCCTTTCCATTTGTTATGGATTCCCTGGCTTGAAACAGAAAGAAATTCTCCTGCGTGTCCTCCAATACATTGAACACCTGCAGGAGAGCATTGATACAGCCAGATCGTTACTTCACATCAATTCTGACGAGCGAAAAGGTAATGTTCCAAAGAGAAGCAGAGGAAGCAACATGACAAAAATGTTGTGAACATCATGGAAAGACACACTGGCCTAACATAGACAACTGTCCAGGTCGCGTGGGGAAGTAATGTGAAAAAGGAAAATGAGGAATGAGACAATGCTGCCTAAATGCATGCTGGTAAACAGCGATTTTTCTGGTTGCCATTTGTAAGGAAGGAGCGCCTCCAGGTAGTTAGGAAAACAAATCTTTACAAGGGTTTCCTCTCTTGTTTTGGGTGACAAATGACTGATATTTATATGCGTGGACCTGTTGTCTAATAAATTGCTTGAAGGCTAGAAATCTTGTGAGCTTCTAAATATAAATAGTATTCTGTGCAGCACTCCATATTAAATTGTGTGTCAAGGAGAGTAGAATTAATTGTTAATAATTGTTTAATGTAAATGTTTCATATACTTTCCTAATTTATGCCAGTGGCAGAATGTGCATTTTCTGGTTGCAGACTTATTACCCTGTTCCCCTGAAAATAAGCCGTAGTATGATTTTTCAAGATGCTCATAATATAAGCCATACCCCAAAAAGAAGACCTAGTTAATTGTAAACCTGCCCTCCACCCTTCTGCAGCACCAAGCTGAAGATGCCATGACTGTACAGTATTTGAATAAACGTACTGTAGGTTGTTGTACATGAAAAAAAAAATATCCCCTGAAAATAAACCCTAATGTGTTTTTGGAGCAAAAATTAATATAAGAATCTGTCTTTCGGGGAAACAAGGTAGTATGTGATACTTTGTTAACACAGGGGAAGCCGAGCAGCTGGTGGTGGTGGCTCCTGCCCAAAAGAGAGGACAAAGAGAAGCCACACCACGCACAAAGAAAACGAAGCCAATGGTGGTTTGCAAAAAACCGAGGAAGAGGAGACGCACCCGCAAATCAGGTTTGGAAAGGATTCCACAAACTCTGAAAACACTTCTTAGGTATATGTCAATCTGTAGAACTTCCTGTCTACACATGACAGGACTTATACACTGTCTCCAATGCCCACAATTTACACCCCATGTGTGTAAAGTCTTTTCGGTTCAGTATGTACCAGATTCCTCCCCAGGTGTGAGGCTGATGGCATGGACCAAATTGGCTAATAGATCGAGCACCACATCCTTATTGCTTCTGTTAAAAAGGTGCCATGGAAAAGTGGTGCCTGTAGCGCTCATCTATAAGGTAAAAAAATAACTTGAACTATATCTATCTTTGTGTTCTTTAAACACAATTGTGGGGAACGCTTGAGCCAGCACATGGATACCCAACGTGTTTTCTTGTCCTTCTGTGCCCGTCTCAAAGACGCCTGTGAAAACAATGCAGGTGGTTGTGATAACCTGAGACTCGTTTTATGAATGATGTTGGTGTTGCTTGGTTTTTGTAGATCGGCGAGCAGTGAACAAGAAAGCCTGCAAGTGCCTCGCTCTGGAGACTGAGAACATCCCTTGCCAAGCTGGCAGATACAGTGACGAGAACAGTTTATACGCTGTGGGAAAGGTCAACTCTATTCTTTCATCCTCCCAGAAGCAGTCACCTTTCTTTCCTAACTTCCAAGTTCCAGTACCAGAATCTTACCAGCCTGCCAGCACTACCTCTCTGGATGTCACCCCAAATGGAGTTCAATTTCATACCACAGGCATGGTTTTTTCATTGTTTTGTGGGTGCTTTAAGTAATTTTTGGTGAAAAGTTGGTAGACTTCTCTCCTGTAGTCTGTTTAGTGTGACATCCATACCTGTCAGAAGCTGCCACTCTGGCTTGTCAAGGGAAAGACAAGCAAAAGTGCTGTTTCCTACCAGGTTTGGGTGTCACATTAGCAATCCACATATGGAAAACCTGCTCTTTGTTTATCCACACTCTCTGAAAGCAGAAACAAGCAGCCAGGGTGCACCAGCAGAGTGGATTGTTCCACACAGGGATTTTGGGGTGCAATTGAACCCAAAATGTACAGCTGGAAATTTTTTGGAGCAGATGGAAAATTATTGGGCTCAACTCAGGAGAAGTAGGAAGATTAGGGTTTATCTGTCAGTTTCCAACTGCACATTTTTTATCCTAATGGTAAATTTTGCATCCAGCTGATTCCTAACTGTTCTTCCACCCCATGTTCTAGTTTCTTGTGCCCTTTATTTTGTTGCTGTGAAATTCATCAAGTTAATTATGTGTGGAAAGGTTGACATGAGTTTTATGAGTTACACATAACTTGTAATTGGGCTGAATATAATGCTAGCCTTTGGTTATCTGGAAAGAGCAAGACAGATTACAGGTACAAATGTTTTTTTGGTCACCAGAAATATTTTTCCACACTTTGGGGATAATTAGGTTGCCATTTTTTAAATCTGCTGTTCCTGATGGATTTGATAAGAAAATGTTAGCCTATATTCTTTATATTTCTTAAATCTCTCTGGACTTAGTAGCTAGGTAGATACTGCATATGCTTAATTCTCCCCCTCTTCTCACGTCAATTTAATTTACAGTATCTGTTTTATTTCAGCTAGACTGTCCCAGACTTTTAAAGAATAGCATTACAAATATATTAAGACTTTACCTATTGGGGTAGGGTGAAGGCAGCTCATTTCTGCCATACAGTGCTTACCCCTCAGGAAATTCTAGCTTGGATTTTATCAGATTTTGAGAGTGTGCTCCTAACCCAAAGGCCACTACTAGGAACTGTTCTTTTCGTGCTTTTCCAGTTTGTACCTGGCTGCAATAAAGCTTGCTTTATGTAGTTCGCAGAGTGTGGACTGGATGGATTCTGAAAAGTTTTACAATCTTATCTCTCTTTATAATATTATTGGCAGACTGGAGCTTGGGCAGCAATGAAGAGGAAGGCAAGAACGGCGATATGTTTTCTGCGTGTGCAGCACAAGTAGCTTATGATGAGCTGCATCAATATGTCAAGGAGACTGGACATTCATCAGCAGGGTATGAGCATGAGCATAGAGCATATAAATTGTGTGCTATAACATTTAGGTTCATTTGATACTGTGGGTTGAACTTGAATTGGGAAAGGGCTTGAAGGCTACAGATCATAAACAGGCTGTGGAAAGGGAGACAAAGCATTTTAAACCATTTACTCCTGACCTCAATGGCTCATCCCCATTTTGGCCCATGTTGACTCTTTCACAAGCAGGTGAGGTACATAACCAACACTGATGTTAAATAAACCTTTGCCAACATCCCTCAGACAAGACAAATGGTCAATTTTGAGGGGAATGACCTTAGAATATATGAAGGAAGAGGGGGGAAATCCTGGGAATCTTTGGGAAGGGGGTTAACCCTGAAGCCTCTTTGTCACTAGTTATTAACAAAGTCCAAAGCAGTCAATTTGTTGAGTGCTGGAAAAGAGTACTAAAAACATACTGTATGCTCAGCTCAAGACATTGTGTCTCTAGGATGTCAGTAATCAAACAACACTCTCCTTTTTGTATCTGGAATAACATGTACTCTAGTGGCCTTTGATTGTCTTGGTGACCACTTTACTTGTATTTTCAGACAGGAATTGGTGTATTACAATTCTTCTTGTGAGGAAGAAGATGAAGAAGGACCCAGAGCCAGCCCTTGGCTGTCCACTCAGTCTCCCATAGGCATGCCCCTTGGTAAGCAGCAAACAGATTAGTGAAAAGGCCCAGGGATGGTCATTGCTTGACACAGACGCAGGGAGCCCAAAAGGCCAAAAGGGTGCAGTTCAAGCTACAATATTCCAAGCATATTTATCCAAAATTACATTTAACAGGAATTCCAATTTACCCTCTAGGAAATGAATTTAGAGTTGTAGCTAAGTGCCCCAGAGAGGCAGGCAACAAGGACACTTCTCTGTGGTTGCTCCCATTTTCATCTATTCAGCATCCTCTTAAAAGCTGAACTGAAACAATAAACTGCACTCTTTCATTAGCAGGGAGCATGCAGCTGTGCTCTCCCAGGATTGGGACACAAAACAACAGTTGCTCGGATTTGGGGCTCAGTCCTTCGCTTTTCTCCTCTCCTGGCCGGCTACTCACCAGACACACTCTCCAAGGCATTCAGGAGGAATTTTCCCCAGGTAAACCAGCAGAAAGTAGTGGTGGTATGGGAGGGGATCAGTTGTGTGATTGTAAGTCCAAATTGCAGCACATGTTGTATTTCTTTTCTGTTTAAAAGACTTATAAGGCCCCTTTAATGCTTTTTTTTAAAAAGCCCTCTCTAGAAATCTTACAAAAATAGTAAAGCATCAATAAGATAAAAGTAAAACCAGAAGTGGCAATTCAGAAGAGCCAATGATATTTGGTTACTGTTTCTCTCTCTCTCTCTCTCTCTCTCTCTCTCTCTCTCTCTGTCTCTCTCTCTGTTGTTGTTGTTGCTTTACTGTATGACACAATGTTCTCTTGTTGGGCAAATGAATGGGGGATCTAGCCTTCTTTAAGAATGCTTTCTTGAGATTTAGAATAAACTTTTTTGTTTCCCTGCAGTTTTATTTGAAGATGTGTATATGTCTCTGCAGTCTAACAGTTTTGCTCAGACCCTTTCAGGAACTCTCTTAAGAAAGGTAAACACTTTGTCCTTCAACGTCATATATTTGTATATTTGCCATTATAATTCTTTAGCCATTGATGCAGTGGAATGTTACATGATGCACTTGCTTGTGAACTAGCCATAAGAACACAGGGAGGAGGCAAAGATAGCTCTGCGGTAGAGCCATGTGCTTTGCAGTGTATAGGGACTCCGTACAGCCCACAAGTCCCTGTCATCACCAGCTGAAAAAGTTGGCTAGCTAGAAGGGAAGACATTTTTTTGCTGGAAGTCCTAGACAACTTCTGCCAGACATGATAGACGGTGCTGAGTAAGATGAACAAATACCCTGACCTGACATAAGACAGTGAGTGAAATTTTCCAGGCATCAAATGTTGGTCTGTGTTATACCATTTTCAGTATATTTTGGTTGAAGAAGAAAGGTGCTAAAATAATATTGAACTGTCTAGTTCAGGGGAATATTCTGATTTGTCTGACAAATTTCCTCTAACTTTATTAGCCACCTTTGGCAAGGCCATCAACAGTGAACTCTTAGTTCAAAAGATGGCTTGGGAATTGGTAAGTACTGTGTCATCCTACGACCGTGTTGGATTCCTTCCTAGAGTAGGAGATGATGGATACTTCTTGCCACACAGTATGGAGGAATAGTTAAAGTGTCAGAATAAACCCAGTTAAGTGATCACTTCTTTTATTTCTGTTCTTCACCTATCAAGGGGAATATGTTTAGGTCATATACTTGGGACAAAATGTCTATAGTTGGTGACCCACATCAGTGTTGTTTTGACTGTCTTCCCAACAGCGAATGTCTCTGAAGTTGTGGTAATAACTTTGCACCATGGTTACACTGTTCCAGGAGCTCATGAACTAGTTTAAATTACATGGAATTGAGGATTAGTGAAATTTCAAACCACAATCTTATAGTGATCATAAGTAGCAATATTGATCTATACATCTCTGTGTGGAAGCAATAACTCCTTAGACTACTGTATAAAATGCATCACTGCTGTGGTGGCGGCAGTATCAGCTCCTTTTTCATTGGTCCCTGCCTCTGATTTCTTCCTTCACCCCTTGCAGCCTGCGTTCAATCTGGATCACTGCTACCTTTCCTACAGTGAAACAGGTCAAAGCGACTCCAGCCCTGTGTCTAGAGTAAATGAGGCAGCATCTTCATGGAACAAGCAATTCCTCCAAGAGGTGGGAAGAGACCCTGGGCAGGGGGTGTTACTTTATGCGTCAGAGGAATCATACCATGGAACAAAGGCTCTCACTCCCTGAGCCTAGTCTGATAGGGAATGGAATTTGTGTTCTGTAAAACAAGATCTGCCGGTAATTCATTACAGCAGTGCTAAAAGTAAAGGTTCCCCTTGACAATTTTTGTCCAGTCGTGTTCGACTCTAGGGGACGGTGCACATCCCCATTTCCATGCCATAGAGTCAGCGTTTTTGTCCGAAGACAATCTTCCGTGGTCACATGGCCAGTGCGACTTAGACACAGAACGCAGTGCTGGCTTCCAAGTAATTTTTTAGGATTTAGAGCTAAAGTTACAATTTTCTTACTAGTTTTTTTTTTGTTTTTTTTAATATCACAATGATAGAAGAGGTGTTCTTTGAACTCACACTCAAGAGTTGCCTTCTGTTGTTCTTCAGTGAGATTATTGCACTTTGTCAATTTTACCTGCTATCTTCCTTTTGCTTTTGAAGAAACATTGGAAATGAAGAATTCCTTCAAATGTTGGGTGAAAGGGCAAAGAGGCTGGGTTGAGGATGTAATGAAATTCTGCCCTTTTCTAGCTTGGTTATGAAACTGGCTAGCAAAAAAAAAATATCAAGGAGCCAATCTGAAACTTTTTCAAAAAGGGAGATCTCCAGGGAGATATCAAGTGGCTAGAGTGACCATCTAGGACTCAGGAAATCTGGGTGCAAATCCATGCTCAGCCATGGAAACTCAGGAGCGGGCTGGCAATAGAATAGCTCATGTAACTTAAAAACATCATTAGGTTTGCTATAATTCTGTAAGCTGGATATGATTAGATGGCACATGACAATATAAAAAGAAGACTGGTGAGTTTCCTAATTGGTTGTAAAACTAACCATGAAAATACATGATTTGTAGCTCCATCAGGAGCATTTTTGTTGAGCAGTACAGCTGCAGTCCATTTGACCTGCTTTGCTGGCTCTGATGTTTGATTCCAGTGTCAGATTAGTAAAGTCAATTTTTTTACAAGATTGGCAGGATAAGCTTGATCAGCTTAATCATACTGAAAAAGTTGCAAGATTCATAAGATGCTTTAGTGTTTTCATCAACTAATTTCACAGGCATCTTTCCACATTGATCACCCTGACCTTAACCCCTCCCCTCACCTTATACTATTAGGAGGCTTCCAACATCAGGTCTGAAGGCCCCATGTCCTCGAGTGATGAGAACAGTGATGCTACCTGGACACCATGCAAGAGGACAAAGCCACCTCAGGTCGCCTGTCAGAAGAGGAAGAAAGTTGTCAGGAGGCAGAAGCGCCGGCCAGGACTCTGTGAGAAACATAGCAGTTCTTCTCTACAGCTGAAGAAGAAATGTGTGAATGGATTTATCATGTTCTGCCGCTTGAACCGCAGACACTTCATCCGGTGAGAATCTGAGAACCAAACTCCTACAGAGGGACTCAAATTCATCCAATCAATAATTCTTCTAACAGCACATTCCTTTACACTAGAGACACATTAATTAATTGGCTTCAAAATGCAAAATTAATAATTAGCTTGTGTGTAGTATTTCAGAATCTCCAGAGCTTCTCAAATATGTTATCTTTCTTAATAGTCTAATATTCCTATTACAGTCCTGTGAGGCAGACCACAGTTCTTAACTCCTATATTGCAAGGAGGAGGCTGAGACCTCTCTTAAACTGAGGCCTAAGCTACCTATTAAGTATACAGTAATGAAAATTTCCATCCTTATTACTTCTTGCATGCATTGGGGGTTAAACTGGTGGGATGACTGGGAAGTGAGATTTAGCTAGAGCGTTGTGTTCTCAGTCTGGATCAGGGTCCTGTGCATGTACACTGAGAATAAGAAAGTAATTTAGGGTTGTTGGTCATTTTGAAAGTGGCTCACTTTGAGGCGCTATTGTGAGTTCATGCCTGAGTCTCCAGGAGCTTCTGAATTCACAGATTTATATTATTATCCATAAAAGTTAAGGCAGTTTTCAACTATTATAAAAACAAGTGAATGGCTTCAACTAACAGCTACAGCAGCATTGCTGAAGCTGAGCAGGTTTTGACTTGTTTGGCAATTCAGATGGAAAATTTGGTTTGTGTATGAATGAGAGCTGTGCATAATAAAAGTATTTTTTAAAAAAATCTAAAATACATAAATGCAGAGTAGAGCAAAAGCAGCTGTTTCATGGTTCTAGGTGTCATATTTGATGAAGGTCAATATTCTTTTTAATATTCTATTATTGCAGAAGTCTAGCCCTCCATTCACAGCTTGTGACTTCACCTGTCCAAACAGAGTAATAAATCTGTTTGATTGGCTTCGACATTATGCTATATATATATCCTCTGTTGAAGTAGCTGTGCTAGTAGCATAGCACAGCTTTGAAACTGGATTTAATTCTGCTGTAGGAATCAAGGAAGAGGGATTGTTCATGGCTCAGAAGCTTTGCATCTCATGGCATCGTTTCTTCCCCAAGTACCATTCTGAATCCCTTTCAAGTACAGTTGTTTGTTTCTTGATTATTCTTGCTTGCCTTATTCTGAAAACTCAGCATGGGTAACAAAGAGCAAAATCTATACTTCTTGATCATTCTCTTAGAATGCTTAGTCTGGGCTTAAAATTGGGTGGGTAATTACTGAGAGGTAGTACCACTAAGGAGGAGGAGCCACGAAAAACAAAACTATTCTGTAGTCACTTTTACACCTGCAAATATTAAAACTCCTTGTTACAAATAAGAGATTTGTTTTAAAGCTTCGAATTTTAGGAACATGTGCCTGGAGATCACAAGTTATACACCTGTATTTCTTAGCAGCCCTGAAAGTTGGGATCTCTTAATTAATTGCCCCCTCTATGGAAAGTAAAGCTTTTAATTATTTTATCAGAAGACCTGTAGCCAGGGAGCAAAAACAAAAACCCAACAACATAGCATCTCAGAAGCTGTGCCTAGAGATCTCAAGCTCAGGGCTTCAGAGAAACATGAGCATAGGGAAAGTGCAACTCAATACTACTACCCTGTTGTTTTTCATGATAAGATGCTAGGATATCTTATGGAAACATTTTTTAAAAAAATAAACATCCAAGTACCTTTGGACTGAGAAGTTATAGCATGGTGTTGGGGTAAGGTTTTCATCGTGGTTTTTCTTTGCTAAGGATTTTTAAACATTGCTCTCCAAAGACAGCCAAAGGCTGGCCTGGCAGGGAGTTGGCACGGCAGCTTTGTTCTCTTGAAACCTTGAGGGGAACATTGGCTGTGCTTTGTGTGCACGCTTCTCATGAGTTTGAATGATCAAATTAGTTTTTGTCTTCTTGGCAGTGCTTACCCAGGCATGGCTTCTACTGCTGCCACAAGGGAGCTGGCCCAGCTGTGGCGGATGATGACGAAGCAAGAACGGAAACCTTATTGGTATGTCTGGAACTGGCCGGAACGAGCTCAGAGCTCAAAAGTAACATGTTACAAGCAATGTCATTATCTTCTTTCAAATTACAAGAGGGAACAAAACTACATTTCAAAAGTAACTTAAGCGGATATGAAGTCACTTCGCTGTTGTAACATGTTTCGTTTCTTTTGACGTTACTTTTTGAGGATTGTTTAAACTCCCTTTAGAAGCATTTTAGCAGAAATCTTCCAAAATTTATGACAATCTCCCCTAAACCCAGTTTAAACAAAAAACAAGAAATAAAACAAAGTAATGAAAAAGTAGCAAGTGACACAGTATTTTACTTCTGTAAAAACAGTAACAGAAAGGAATTACAGTTCAGATTAGAGTCTGGGGAAAATTTGCTTTTTCCAAGAACAACTCCCAGATTGCCTTAGAAAGTATATCCAATGACTATTGGGGGATCTGGACATTATAGTCTTTAAAAAAAAAGACAATGTCCATCTTCAAGTGAAATGTTCAGGTAGCTGATTATGGGAAGGGTCCTTCACTGCTGATTGGAGGAGTCAACACTACTGGGCTAAACAGAGAATCAGTTCAGTGCTGGCAACTTCCTGTCTATACTCTGTCATATTTTGGCAGGGAACTGGAATTCCACTGTATTTTTAGCTCTCTATGAACTAATTATAAAAAGTAACAAATTTAATCACTTTGCATCCTTTTCTGGCAAATATAGGTAGAAACTGTATCTGCCCATTGGCACCTTGAAGATATAAAGCTGGTGTTCGAGCAGTTATAATGAGATGATCCTTCATCTATAATTCCTCTCCCTAAAACAATCTGTATTATTAGCAATTTATTCTATTTATCCAATGCCTTTAAAAAATCTGCCCAGTCTTAAAAAATACAGTATTCTGAAAATAAGCAATTTATTAGCTAAGAGTAGAAGTTACATTATGACTGGAGGCTATCATCCCTTTTTATTCCAGAGCAAGCTGCTAAATGAACTTACCCCTTGTGTGCTTGATCTTGATTTATCACAGGACAGTGGCAATTAGCAAATGGTAGTTTGATTGCCTGTTGCAGTCTGTTTATTATAGATAGCTGTCAACAGGAAACAACTCATTAAGTCATATGCTTATCACATATGCTGTATTACTTTTTCCCCTTTCAGCCTGAAAGCCCGGAGATTCAGCCGTATGAACAATCGTATTGTAAGGGAAGACAACTCCAGTGGGGAGGAAGAGATGGAGCCGCCCAAGCCTTTCCATCTGTTACTGGCTGAGAAGTCCTTTCATGGTGCCCAGAACTTTGGTGACTACTCTTTACTAGACTTTATCCCATGATTATTATTTTTTAATGGCGGAATGTTGAAAATGGCAGGTTCACCTATGAAAAGATGGCCCTCTCCCACTGGTTTGTTATTGTTTGTTACAGAGTTTCCTAGTTGGTGGGTCCCCCATTCAGTGCTTAGCTTCCTTCTTTACAGCAGTGCACAAGTTGACAGGGGCCTCATGGGTCCCATTGACAGGCTAGCAAAAAGCAATAACAGAGAGGGGAGGAAGGGGGCCAGACAACCCTATTTCACCAGCCTCCTTCCCCTTTACATCTCTTTTTTATTGCTTGCAAATATCCAGGGTATCCTTGCTCACTGTGCTTCCAGCTTCCAAGGAGTAGTTGCTGAGGGGAAGCAATATAACAGATGGATGGGTTGTAGGTTTTACCTCCTGCCACCGTCCAAAGTGGTCCCTGATAGGTTTGGAGAGCAGTACCCCTGTGCCAGCAGCATTGGCAAGACGAATATTCAGGTTTGCATGTTTACATGGGTATTACCATGGGTTTCAGAGTCTGCTCCATTTGACATGGATGGGTGTAGTTTTCAAAAGGCAACCGTTCTGTGTGGATTTTAAAAAAAGAATTTCCAGAGTATATAACAGTGTCTTTCCTCTGGAAAACTCGATGTCTGTTTCATTTTGGCTTTTAACTTCAAATCCATATTTATTGCCAAACATTTTTAGCTCCTCTGATGCTTTACTAAAACTTAAGGTTTTCGTTATTGGGGCTTTAGCTCTGTGGGATGTTTTGCTGCAATACAGGATCCAGATTTTGAGGTCCACATGGGTTAACTCGTTTCATGGTAAATGTGATGCTTTGTTACATAGCAAGTTGCTTCCTGTGTGTGTTTGCCATTCCCTGAAGCAAATGAATGTCCATGTATGTGAGTTCATATGTTTGCTCTGAGTAGCACTGAATTCACCCTTGATGGGTCTGTTACACCAAAGATCCTGAAGAGGAAAACACTTGGTAGTTTTAGTCTGAGGTTAAATAAGTTCCAAGACACTTGATTCTGAGCAAACAAGAGTGCTCACAGTGGGAAGGTAGAATGACAGGATTGTACTTGTGAAGAGCACAGATCAGGCCACTATAACATAATATTTTGGGTTGGTTTCTATCCTGCTTGAGGAAGACCTTCAAAATCACTTATCTTTGACCTATCTCATAAATCAAGGGTGAGTAAAATGTAGTGCCCCCACTGCAATTGTAAGATTGGAACTTCCATCAGTCCTAGATAGCTTAGCCAATACTGGTGAAGGCTGATAACAACAGTCCAGTTACATCTGAAAGTCTACCCTTTGCCCACCCTCATCTGAAATGGTCCCTTACCTCTGTGTTTGCAATCAGTTTTTGTTCCAAATTTTGTTACAGGCTTGAATGGATTTTTCTGCTGTTGTATTTATCTATTTATCTATTTATTGGTAGTTTTTCTCCACCTCTATTTATATTTAAAATAAAGGCTAGCTTTAAAACTAACAAGTGCTTTTGGTAGCTCTATGCCTTTCCTCCCCCTGGTCCTTTGAGGTCTGAAGCTAAAGGCTTTGAGTGAAATCAAGCAGCCCCTTTCCTTTGGAGTTAGGACTGTTTTCAGGGAAGACAGTTATCTTCCCCAGAACATGCTTTGGTTGGGCCAGGAAATCAGTTCCATCAATTCTCTCAATGTGTGGGCCGGTGGAGCAGTTATTTATCATTTTAAAATAGTTGCTTTGGGCAAGTGATACCATGTTGTAAGCTTTCATCATGTTTGTAAACAATCCATTGTCTTGGTTTTCCCACTGTCAGAGATCTATATTTCCCCATTCTATTTGTAGATCTGGGAGACTCCTTTCTTACCACTGCTCCTTATTCCTGTGCTGTAAAGTACAGGCCCCATGGCTGAGACACGTTTTGGTTGTGCCTTGCATTTATTTATATTGTTTTACAGTGTTCAAAACATTTCAAAAATTGGCTCAATGATCTGTGCAACAACCCTATAAAGTAGAACAATAGTATTATGCTCACATTGCATATGGGGGCTGAGGATGAGAGGGTGCTCGTGTGCCTAGGAGAGATTATATTTGCACTCTGGACTTCCTCACTGCAGGTCACTTTCTTGAATCTGAGTCTTAACGTATCTGCTCAGAAGCATATCCTACTGGGTGGAGGGGGACTTATTCCCTGGAAAGCATGTCTTGGATATCAGCCTTTATCATGACACTTGAGAAACTCTCAACAGAGCATCTCACTGCCTGTCCTTCGCCACCTTCAGAGCTGGCACTAGGCTGCAAGAGGCTCAACTAAATGGGAACTTTCCTCATAGGACAGCTCCTCAATGTTCCCTTAAAGTCAGCCACAGTTTCCCAGCAGCCATGCTAGTTCAGGGATTCTGGGTGTTGCTATGCAAAACAGGAAAAAGGCAAATGGCTTGTGTGATTCTTCCTGTGCCAGCACAAGGGGGGGTGGACACACCCCTTGAATGGCTCATCTGGCCATAGGAACACATATTATTCACTGATGTCCTTAGACAAGAGGATACCACCCTTTGGAAGGCTTCATTTATTATGAAATGTGGCAACACAAAGTGATTTGGCAGGCTAGAATCAGAAGACCAAGCAGAAGCAAGCAGCTGAGTTGGGTCTCTTCAGGAAATGTGCCCGAGAAGCATCTCAGAAATCCAGTGAACTTCTTCCTGCAAAATGTACCACCCCCTGAATGAAATGACTGTAGGTTCATGGTGAACTGGAGAGGGCTGCCATTCTTCTTTTCTTGGGTCCATTCTCATGCTCTCAAGTGCTTCATTCAAGTCCTCTATCAAAGTCATTCGGTCCCTCCAGTCCTTTGCAAGTCACTCTAATTGCTCTTGCTCTCTCTAGAATATGATAGGCATTCTCATGTGTTCAGTTATCCAGGCTATTATCTTAATTAGCCTTCTTAACTCAGTGCTTTCCAGTTTCAATCAGTGCTGCTACTGCAGGATATAGTTGTACAGTACTTAGCATCAAAGTCCTAGTTTAGAAACTACTTCTGCTTCATTTTTGCTTGGTTCTGTGGAGGCAGAACAACTCTTGTTTCACCACCAAGTGTATTTCATATTGTTCTTTTACCAGAAATGGAGGTCAGACCTTGTTATCAGCTACTGTATAGGGGAACAAGGGAGCTGCAAATTTTGGCAGAGTAAGGCAGTAGGGTATGTGCTGTGATGAAAATATATATATACGCCAACATCCTTTTCTCTTCCTCTCATCCTACAGTACGTAGTAATCTTGGAGTTTAGAGGCAGGTGAGAGGATTTTCTTAACTTTTACATCATTTTCTTGGGTATGGCTTTTGGTAGAAGAGAGAGAGAAAGAAAGAGAGAGGTCTGCTATGACTACTAGAGCGTAAAATCTATGCTACAAACCCAAATTTTGGATTGTAGGTTATAAACGTGGCAAGGTGAAACTCTTCTTCTCCACATAAGCCAGGAGATGATGTTTTGTAATAAATGGTCTTAACAACAGTGTTGGTCAGACAGATGGGTGTTTCGAAGGACTAGAAAGAATCTGCAAAGGGGCCTGTGTTCCACCGTATTGTTTTAGGACCCCAGATCTACAAGGGTAGAAGCGAGAGGCCCCTGGAGGCTGTTGTGGAGTGGCTGGTGATGCAGAAAATCTATGCTGTGGGCACCAGGTGTGGAGTGTCTTAGTGGAGTTGAAAGTGGCAAGCCAGGGTAGAGGAGCGAGGGGCTGGATCCAGGAGCCACAGGGCTATCTGTGGGAGAGTTCTCGTCATCTGAGCTGCGGACAGCACATGCCTCTCGTGCCATGCCCCTTCCTTCCTTCAAAGCGCCACCTTCACTGTTCTCTCTGAAGAGAAGAAGAAGGGGAGGAAAAGTGGGTGGTGGAAGCAACAAAACTCTGCCTCCAGGTTCCAAGTCCCCCTTCCTTCCTTCAAAGCGCCACCTTCATTGTTCTCTCTGAAGAGAGGAAGAAGAGGAGGAAAAGTGGGTGGGGGAAGCAACAAAACTCTACCTCCAGGTTCCAAGTCTATCAGTTCCACAGGATCCCAAGAAGAATTTTTAAAAGAATACAAGTTAAGTTCTTGGATACAACTCCCAATATGGCCTGGAGGATCCTGAAAGCTATAGCTCAAGGAAGTAACTCAGTCCCAGCTCCAAGAACAACAGATCTTGGTGCTGCAGGAACCCTTCTAATCACTTATAGAAATTAATGAATGTCTTAGTCCAGTAACATTCAGCCTTTTTAGGTTTGGTTTCAGTTCTAAATCCAAACTGCAAGGTGATATCTACTTCCCTCCCCTGCATTGTTTCCAGACAGTTCTGCTTATTTCCCTATTTCCTTCATTACCACCACCATGTTTTGCTCTTTCTTTAAATAAAATCTGATTACAGGAGATCTATGTTGTCCACTGAGGTTTTGCTCTTTCTTTAAATAAAATCTGATAACATACAGGAGATCTATGTTGTCCACTGAAGAGCTCCAAAGAGGCAATCTAGCTTTTCTCCCTGTTCCATTGGTACGCAACAGTCTCTGTCCTAGTCCTTTCCATCTGCAGCTACACCAAACCCCCTAGAGGTTGTGTTCCAGTCCCAAGTATGTAGGATCAACCCCCTCACCTTTCCTTGGTCTCTGTGGCACGGTCCCTCTGGCGCCGGTTTTTGAACCAGTTGCTGACCTGGGTGGTGGTCAAGCCAGTGGCTTCTGCCAGTTCCCTCTTCTCACGAGGGGATGGGTAGGGGTTGTGGGTGTACCACTCTCGTAACACACTCCGAGATTTTTCCTGTGTGAGAGCAAAGGGGGTCAGGAAAGAACTGAAACAGAGTCAAACAAGAATTTGGGAAATGATGTGTGTGACAATTCCATATTCTCTCTCTTTCTATTTTGGCTAGTTAAAATTTTATAAACCTCTGCATTTCCCTTAATATATTCTCTTTCCCAGTCCCTCTTGAAATAAAAGCACCAAATTCTTCAGCTTTGCCTCCAATCCTATGAGCATTTTAGTCATTCTTCTCCCAGCATTTCCTAGTCTGTGACACCCTTTTGAGCAACCAAACCTGTATACGATATTCTAAATTATGTTTATATGTAGCAGCTTAGATCCAAACTTAGTCGTATTGACCGTTGATGGCGGGGAATCTACTCTACGGATGATGAAGTCTGGATCTAGCTCCATATTCTCTCTCTTTCTATTTTGGCTAGTTAAAATTTTATAAACCTCTGCATTTCCCTTAATATATTCTCTTTCCCAGTCCCTCTTGAAATAAAAGCACCAAATTCTTCAGCTTTGCCTCTAATCCTATGAGCATTCTCCCAGCATTTCCTAGTCTGTGACACCCTTTTGAGCAACCAAACCTGTATACGATATTCTAAATTATGTTTATATGTAGCAGCCTAGATCCAAACTTAGTCATATTGACCGTTGATGGCGGGGAGTCTACTCTACAGATGATGAAGTCTGGATCTAGTCATTACCATACATTTTCTTTCCTTGTAACATTCGTTATAAGTGTTGTAACTCTTATTACAGATTTGCTTTCTTTTTAACATTGTAAGTCATGCTTTTGTTTCCTGGCTGCTGCAGCTTTCGATATTCACCCCCAGTACAGTATGTCTTCTTTTGTCTTCCAACGTCTTTTTCCAAAATTGTATCAGCCAGTGTTGCCCCCATCTCCGTGTTTGTGAGATTAGGTTTTTATTTTTAATCTCAGTGTGCAGGGTTGTAACTTCAGTTTCACAGCTCTTCATCGTCACTCTTGTTAGCTGTGGCTGAAAGGAGCTGTAGTCTTTCCTGCATCTAATTTAGGGGAAGTCATGGGGAATAACCAGCAGAGGGCAATGATGACATTGTTTTCTGTGCTTCGTTGTGTTCCATACAAGGAAGATTTAGCAATACCTTCTTTTATTTTGAATCACAGATAACATAAGACTCAGCTGGATTTTTGTGATTTATCACTGGAGGAGTAAAAACCATTGACTGGAAAAGTTGGAACTGTGGGCAGGGGTTGTAGGCAGTTAGTATGTTATTATTATTATATGATAATAGCATCCGAGTAACAAAGGTTAAGAACCACTGACTTAGACCAGTGGTTCTTAACCTTGGGTTACTCAGGTGTTTTTGAACTGCAACTCCCAGAAACCCCAGCCAGCACAGCTGGTGGTGAAGTCTTCTGGGAGTTGCAGTCCAAAAACACCTGAGTAAACCCAAGGTTAAGAACCACAGACTTAGACTGTTAAAAAGAAACCCAAAGTCAGTCAATTAAACAGAAATACGGATTTGCAAACCTCCAGGATAGGAAATTTTACAAAGGCTTATGTGCAGGATTTGTGCCTGCAAAACATTAAGTAGTGGAAACCTGTACGTAAAAAAATGATTTTTCTGCCCTATCTCGGCGAAAGCAAAGTGTGGTTCCATGAAGTCTTACCTTGAAACAGTAGCTGGTTTCCTCTCCATCCCAGATGGTTCGTGGCAGGAGAAATTTGCGCCGCACCCTGTATTTTCCCACGGCCCCCAGTGGCCTCCCGCGCAACTTCTCCGCTTCGATGTAGTGGGCTTTGAGCCACAGTTGTTGCAGCTTGGGGTGGTTGTGAGGAGAGAACTGATAGCTCTCCAAGATCTTGTAGAGCTCCCGGAAGTTCCCCCTGTGGAAAGCCACCACGGCCTTGGCTTTCAGGACGGCCTCATTCTTCTGCACGTAGTCGCAGGCTGGCAGGGACCATAGGAAACAACCCAAGCGGTCAACGTTACCCCCTTGCTGCAGAACTTCGCACACGCATGCCACTTGCTCTTGAGTGAAGCCGAAATTCATGGCTGATGAGGAAGTGCACAGGTTGCCTGTTCATGGAGGGTGCCGAAAGTGGACTCCAAAACTCGGTGGCTTTCGAAACCAGCTTAGGCAGGTCCACAAGCGGAATGCGCTTCCTCTGAGGAGGCCTGCATGCAAAACACAACACTGCCCTTGCTGCCGAGAACAGGAGGCGACCCTGTCTCTTTCAAAAAGGAAACCAGATCTGGCCTACTGTGGCCAGCGTGGATGCGAGGAGCCGGAGGCAAGCCAGGTGCCTGCCAAGTTTCTCTCCAGGATGGCCATGTTCCCTTTTTCTCTCCTTCTGTCTGCGCCGTCAGGACTCTCTCTGTCTCTACTGGCTCTAGAGACGGTCGCCTGGGGTACACGTCTAAGAGGGGTATCGGTTACAGGCCCAGCCCTTGCAGGCTGGAGCCGTGGACAGCCATTGGCCGGCTCAGCAAGAAGAGCAAGAGAAAAAGTCTTAAGCCATGCTACCTCTGGGTAGTAAACCTTTCTCCGGAGGGGTCCTCCTGGATAAGGAAACATGAGATATCCCCTACGCAGTGTGGAGTGGGGTAGGCAGAAGGTGTCTTGGTCAAGACGAACAGCTCTGCTTCTGGCTCATGCTTGCCTCTTCTGTTATTAGCTGACATCTGCCCAAGCCCTGGCTCAGATCTGTCAGCAGTTTTTTTAGATTTTCATCTTATACCATGCTACTTTGAAACATGGGTTTTGTTGTTCCTGTTCTGGAAAAGAAAAAAGAGCACCAAATCCTTCCTTGTAACCTGTAGGAATCCTTTTTCCTCAGCATCCTTCCCTTCCCTGTGTCTTCTTCAAAATCATTTTAGAATCCATACTAAACTCTTTAAAAAACCCTAAAGCTTGATACCAACATGATAGCTAATCCCAAAGTTTCTCAAACTAGATCGGTTTCCTTTTATTTCCTCAAAATGAAAAAAGGGAATAGAAAGGAGAGTTTTGGTTGCTTTTAACATCTTTGGATGGGAGCAAACTCTTTTAACATGTATCACGTGCTGTAAATCCACAGGCAAAGCTCTTTGTCTCCCATTTGTTCCTGGCCTTGCCAGGTGATTGATCAGCCCCTCTGAGCCACAGCTGCTGCTTGTGCCGTTTCATTCTCCTGCCTCCTTGCTCTTCCCATGTGGAGATCATGTTTCCCACCCAAGCCAGCAGCCATTCCTAACACAAATAACTGGTTGAGGGAAGACAGATAACAAGAGGCCTTGTCTGGCTTCTGGGCTAAAGCAGCATCTCTCTTCTAGTGAAGAAAGTGGAGAGGAAGACACTTTGCTTAAGGAAAAACTGGAACCCAACTCCTCAAAAGGTACCAAGGCAGAGGAATCCTAACTGCATCTGCCCAATAATGCACTGAGTAGGAGATGGAAGTAGATATTAGGGCTGGGCAGCTGCTCCCTGGTGCCTCTCGGTTCTGTAGTGGGCACTACATTCTAGCAAGCAGATGCTGGTTCCACTTGCTCGGACAGGTAGCAGTTGCTTTGGGGGAACATGCCCAATCTTGGAAGTACTGTAACTTCAGAGCAACATGCTTAAAAAGAAATAAATAATCAACCTGTATTCCTCCTTTTCCTCCTTTGTCTCCTACCAGAAGCTGGATAGCATAATGGCTTTTCCAACTTCAGATCTGGCAACTCTAGATAATGATGTGGTGCTATCTCTAAACCAGTCTCCCAGGTTTCCCAGTCAGGCCGTCCTCTCAAACTTTTCCTATTTATTTTGCTTCGAACAATAATCTGTAACAAATAGCATTACTCATTTCACAATAGGTGAACAAAGTATTCAGGTTTTCTAGCCTGTATGTGTTTTGCAACTTCTTGGTGTTTTGTTTATTCACGAGCTTTCAGGTCATCCTCTTGATTCCAGAAATTCTTAGCATCCTATGATGAACCCAGGATTCAGATACGTCTTTCTTTTTCACAGCTGTCTGGGTACCTATATAGATTGTGCAAATATGCCTCTATGTTTAGCCCAACTTTATCCCCACCAAAAAGTCTGTTGAGGTGGCTGAGGCTGAGAGAGGATGACTGGCCCAAGGTTAACCTGTAATCTTTCAAGGCTGGGTGGGGATCTGAGCCCAAATCTCCCCCCAAGTCCCAGTCCACCAGCTTAACTGGGCCATACTGACTCACACCAGATTGACACCTGCTCTGGTTCCATTAGACGTTGCTCTGCTTTCCTAACTTTTGGAAGCCCTTCGTTTCAGGTCAGATTGAAATCTCCAGACTTCACACTTTTAATAACTGGAAACTGATTTCCAGCTTTTTTTTAAAAAAAGACATTTCTCTCCTCACCCCCTTCAAAGGGGATTCCACCACTCAAATACAACTTTTGGCAATGGAATGGGATCAACTGTACAGGTCACATGGACTTAAGCTGCAGTATCTCTATATAAGAAAGCAAGTCACTGGTTTGTTTTGTTCCTTCCCTTGATTCTGCTACCTTCCCCCTTATTCCAGCTCATATTAATTTCTGCAGCCCCTATCCGCTTTCCCACCAATACGGAATTAAATGCTCTCTCGGATACTACAAAGGGTTAATCTTGCCTGTCTTTCCCTCCACTCCACCCTCCACTTCCCCACCTAATTCAGGGACAAGAAAATCCCCCTCACTGCTCCCACCCCAGATGGTGTTGCTTACACAGCCATTTGAGTAATACTATCCAGCCTGGATCACCTTCCTTCTTCCCAGCGACTTAACAGCCTCTTGGGGAGGAAAGCTTTGTTCTGGAGCTGAGGCGGCAGCAGTGGCTACAGCAAGAAACTTGCTGTATGTAGAAAATTAATCAGAGAAGCGCTTTCTCTGTCGGTCTCAATCAACCATGTTCCACAGGAAGTCCAGGGGCCTCTTGTCTTCCATCCCACCATTGCTCCCAGTTCTTTGGAGAATGGTTCCAGGTGACCATTTGGTCCTTTCCCTGCTAACCTATTTCTTTGCACACATATACAGGTGCAGAATTGCAAAGGTGAGAGGAAGAGATTCTCAGTCTATTAAATTCACAGCTTCCATATAAATCAGTGGTTTGGATGGCTTTAAAAAGTTTGCTTTGGACAGTATAAAAGATTGATTGCCGCATTCCGGGTTGTGAAGCACACCTCGTGGTAGGCAACGTGCATTCCAAATTCAGTTTGCTCAGAGCACAGCAGGGATGTCCCTCACCTTCTTGCTCTGATTCAGAATGCTGAAATTAAATAATTGATTCATTAAAAGAGGAATCCCCTCATCCGCTCAAGATGACTGATTGTCACAACAGGTGCTTTTCTCCGTTCCCCTCATTTGCCTTTAGAAGCTAAAAATGGTTTTCGTTGGCAAGCCTGATCACTCGGACTCAATGCTCTATTGGAATCACATCTCTGGAACACTGATGTGATTTTGGCTGTAAGTTTGGCTTAGAGAGAGACCGAGCGAAATGGTTTTGTAACCAGATCATATGAACTTCTGTTTGAATCCAGAATAGCCAGTGTTGAACTTGGTTCCGAGGAATCAAGATTCTAGTCCCCATTGAGCAACAGAATTCACTAGGTAGCCTTGGATCAGTTGCATTCTTTCCTTATCATTCAGCCTGGCCTACTGTGTTGGGAGGGGTGGGGTGGGGGTTGGAGAGCCATGTATCCAGCCTTAAACCCCATAAATGTAAAATATGAATATGGTAAGATTTCAGCTCCTGAAGCATGATGCTTAGCATGCTGGTACCCCTGGCAAGGTGGTAAGTGCTACAGGAGGGAGCACACATGTCAAGGCAACATACTAGGGATAAAGTAGTTCTCTCCACACTTTACATGGGTAGCAATGACCTTAAGTTACACCCCATCAAATAAACCTTATTTTCAGCCTGAATTCTCTTAAGCCAAAACCTTTCCGCATCCCTGCTTCTGACCATTATCTTCATATTTTAATTTCCCAGCAAGCACACTCAAATAGTGATCCATATTGAATACACAACAAAGGGAAGATGCTCCCTTCATGTTTTTGGAACTGTTGAGTGTGCCAAACCAGAAGCTACAAACCACCAAATTTACCTATGTGTGCTTAAAGATCTAATACTCGTAATTAAAAGACCCAAAAACATAAACAGAGATTCTCAAAATGCTGACTTCTCTGCCCCATAACAATTTTTGCATTTGTGATTGCAGAATATTACACACCATTGAAGACTGTGTTCAAATAACTGGCAACTTTGAGTACTACTTGCTGTGAAAAAGGGGCATATAAATAAATTAACTAATGGTCATCTAACATAGAATTGGACCACTTTAAATCATCTGCTGGCTGTCAGAATGGCAGATCAGGTGAATTTCCAGAAGATTCATGAACGCATAGACAAACAGAGATTTAAGATAAAATATATTTATATATAAAATATATATATGTATGTATATATATATAAAAGACACAAATACACATTAAAAACACGAGAAGATATAAAAAATATCTTGTAGAAATGATTGTTTCTCACAAACAGTGGGAAGACGTGTAATGCTGTAGTACCTGTGTGGGGTAGATAGGGGCTGGGCGGGGCTCAATTATTCAGCTGAAAACTTAGATGCTTAGCTCTTATCATGGAAAATACAGTAATAGGGGAGAGAGAGGAACAGTTAGTCTTGTCATTTTGCAGCAATACTGTGATTTCTCTCCAGAACTGTCAACTGTTAGAAGCCAGGGTAGTGGGCTTCTAACTCTGCAATCAAGGTGGAAAATCCCAGTGGCACATTGCTACTCAACAGCAGTTTTTCAATAAAATTCCCCTTCTACTTCAGTGAAAAACTCTTGATTGACACAGAGAAGTTCTGCAAGAGGGTTGAGTCTGCATGGGTACATAAACGAAGGGCAGGAGTTTCTGCCCTAGAATATTTAAGCTAGCGGTTTCCTTTTGTAGGATTGGCTGGTCTGTTTTCTGGCATGGAAACGCTATGCACCTGCCTTACATCATGTCAGTCTTTTGGTCTACATAGCTTTGCAGTGTTTACATCAACCTTTTCTTAGCAAGTGTCTTTCAGACTTATTGGCTTCAACTCTCTTAATCCCACAGCTGGCATGTTGGGAACATGGGCTTGAGCAGCTCTCTAAAGCTTCAGGCAAGCGTCTTTTATAGTCTTACCTGGAGATGTTACAGATTGAACCTGGGGCATTTATGTGCGAAGCAGATATGCTTTACCACTGAGCTATAACATTTCTTCTCTAAATTAGAAGCTTCACTTTTTCTTGTTAAAGAGCATGGGTAGTTTAAAAGAATACAAAAGAGAAAACAGTTCTTCTGGAAGACAGTAGGGAAAGTAGCATAACCTGTAATGTTACTATGATTACCTCGTTGAGTTGCTCCATGGTGGCTCAAAAGTTTCCCTCTGTATCATTTCCAAAACTAGCTCTGTTTTGAAAAGTTTTTACAAAACATTCCAAATTCCTTCAATCACTACCACAGATTCAATATTCAGAAATTCCTTCACCTGCACAGCAGGGCCTTCACGTCATATAAGATGTTAATGGTCCTAATATTCCCCATCAATTACATGGATGTAGTGTAAAAAGAAAACCAATAACATATTGGAAGGAAAAATGCCACTTCACAATAGAAAGTATGGGAAATAAGAGATTTTAAGCTTGCTTTTTCTAATGAGAGATTTATGTATATATAATTCCTTCTGTGCCTTAAAAAAAAAAGTCAGACCACCTGCTAATTTTAAAATTTGCAAAAAGAAACATATGCTCCAGGGAACTCAAGTGTAATGACATAACAAGGTATTCAGGAATGTTTTTAAGTGTCTCTAATTGTCCTGGGATTTTTTGTTCCCAACCCCTAAAACTAGGGAATTTTGGGTAAGGCCATTACTGATTTTACTATGGTTTAAAGGGCTGCAAAGCCGCATCTAAAATCTATTTGCATGTACCTTTAATTGCCAGACGGATCTCTGCAGGATCTCATCTGTTTTTCACAAGTCAGGGCTTCATGTACAGTTCACACGTTCCTTTGATTTCCTTTGCTTTCTCATATGTACTAAATGCTGAAAAATGCTTACACGGACATAAAAAATGTAGAAAAGAGACTCTAGTCAGGCTTTTCTATCCTGAAGGACCAGCACAATGTCTATATTTCCTTTTTGGTTCCTTTCGTGTCAATGCATTCCAATTTTGAACCACATATTTAAGCACTGCAGAAACGCACCAACATACAGCCCTAAAAACCAACACGAAGCAAAGCCTGGATCTTTCCCTGCTCCAAACTCAAAAAGCATAGTTAAGTCCAGCCACTGGAAACTGGCTCTTCTCCCTACCCCCTCCAAATTGGGATTTGAGGGTCACACTGCGAACTGAACCCCATCCCTAGCACCATGGATGAGAGGAAAGGAAACATCCCCTTGTGGTCTAAGTGCTCCCCATTGCTGGTGAATGGGCAATGCGTAACCTCGAAGTGGCATCATCGCGGCTCGCAAGAGAATGAGACAGGTTTCGAAGGGGCAGGAAGGCCTAACAGGAAATAAAAGGGAGGACAACCCAGTTCTCCCTCCAAGCAGAGAAAGCCCTTCTTGGCCTCCAAAGAAAGCAAGTGTAGATGTTGCTTGCTACTTTTCTGGTGGCCACAAGATGGCACTTAGATATTTGTAATTACTGTGCAGAACTGGAAGAGAACCGTCCATATATGAGTTTTTGTACTGTAGTGTTTGCTCACCCTTGCAAAAAGATACACCTGCAGCCGTGATTACAAAGAGAGAGAGAGGGAAAAAAGGGTTCACACACATGGGAAAAAGGTTTCCCTTTCAAGGCACTTCTAGCTCTCCTAAACCAGTCCTGGTCTGGGAGGTGGCAAGGAACAAGAACCCAGGATTACAGGGAGAACCCCGCAAACTATCTCCTTGGATCCCTCTGGATTTTTCTGTTTTACAAGTCAAGCGACTCTTCCACGGGCACCGACTGGAGCTGCGTCAGCACCTTCTCATCCGAGTCCAGGGCTTCAGAGCCCATGGGGTCAGCCCCAGAAGCATCGAGCAAAAGGCCATCATCCTCAGGGAGCTGGAGTAAGCCGCCCTGCTCCTCCATGGGGCTCTTGTCCATTTCAAACAGCCCCTCGGAGCCGGTCCCTTGAAGATCCATGCTGACGGCACCAGGCCACACCATTTGCTGCTGGGATGCTGTGAGCCCTTCTTGCTGGGAGAAACTGGAAAGAAGGATGGCCTGCCCAGAGTTGGTGCTATATGGAGACAAGTCAGCTGACCCACCGCTGTCGGAGGCTGAAAGTGAGGAGACCCCAGAGGGCAGCACAGAAGTCACACCGGGGAGCAACACCCCAGTGCTGTTGTTGTCCCCAGCTTCATGGCTTCCGAGAGTGGCTGGTGCAGTCACTCCCACTTCCTGCTTGATGGGAACAGCCAGGGTCGGGGCTGCTGCTGGAGCTGAGAGGATGGGTGCCATCAGCATGCCTGCTGGGAAGGTGGCCGTCAGAATGAGCTTGCCCTGCTGCAGAGCCATGCCAGTGACGATGGTACTACTGCCCGTTGCCGGATTGGTCAGCAGGAGGTTACCTAGGTTGGAGAGCAAACAAGCTGTCTCACATCTTAAGCAAAGAAAGAGTCTCTGTATCCTGCCTCCCCGTTCCTTCTCTGACTTGGCGCACCAACCTGGAAATTCCCTCTCCTTCTCTCCAAGATGGTCCCTACACATGTATCCCACCCTAAATGGAAAAGGACTTTTGTGACCTATCAAGTGCAGGCACACCACCATAAATCTTTCCAACCTGACAGAGAAATTGCTTCATCTTCAGCCTATGGTTCTACCACTGAGTTTTGCCTTCCCTGCAGCTGCTCACATCTATTTGAATTGTTCGGTAATCTGGAGACTTTACTCTGCAGTGACCGACCTTTAGCACGTGTAGTCTATTGTAAAATACCAGGCCTGCTTCTCATGATGATCGCCTGTTTGGTCCAAGGGCTGCCATGTTTATGGCTGCACCCACCTACATGGGTTTTGCAACCCTCATCAGGAAAATGGGGGCAGTGATCACTCAGATGGCAAGCTGTCCCTCAGCCTTTCTAAGGCAAATGCTGAGATCCTTGATTCATCACCTCATTAACTATCCCCCTCACTATGGCACTTGCTTCATGTGCAAGCCCTCCCAATCAGTTTCTGCCCACAGAAAATACCTGGCGTGGTGCCTGGAAGTTGCACAGCTGTCATGCCGACATTGGTGTTGATGAGATGCACACTGCTCTGGCCAAGATTTCCACCAGCCGCTGGCGTCCCCGTCACGGGGCCCATTTTGATGGAGGCAGCACTCGTTAGGATCTGGATGGGGCTGCCCACGCCCTGTTGCAGCGTCACCACCTGCGAGGTGGGCACCACTTGGGGGAGAGAGAGGATCTGTGAACCTTGGGCCACTTGAGGGAGGGAGACCAGCTGAGGGGCAGGAGTTCCCTGTGTTACGGTGTAGATCTGCGTGGGCGACATGGGCACCATCTGGGATGGGGAGAGCACCTGCGTCCCTGGGACAGACTGGGACAGAGGGACCACTTGAGAGGGAGGTGGCACTTGGGTGATGGGGACCAGAGACGGGGCAGGAACATGGAGGACCGTAGCCTGGGCTGGAGAAGATCCCGGGATGGAAATGAGTGGTGTGGCTGTAGTAGATGAAGATGGGGTTGCCAGGGTAACCTGCCCACTGACGGTTGCCACAGTGACCTGGGGAGGTGACATGGCTTGAGTGGCAGGGACTAGCCTGGCAAGAGGGACGATCTGAGGGCTGGAGGTGGCTGCTGGCTGAAGTGGCGGGGCCAGCTGGCTGGCTGCAGGAGCCTCCTCGTTGGATGGGACTACTTGAGACATGGAAGCAGCCACCAGCAGGGCTCCCTTCTGGTCAGAGAGCAGTGTGGAAGCATCAGGGAGAGATAACAGGGGTGGGACGGCCCCCTGCCTATCCTCGGACTTCACTTCCACCCCAAAGGCCAGTGGCTCTGCGGTCTCTGATTTCACCTCTCCTTGAAGAGCTGCTGGGCTGAGGATGACAGCTGTGGAGGGAAGAGGTTCCTGGGAAGCCTTGGAGACCTCCTGACTGCTGGGTGCGGCAGGTTTCCCACTCAGCAAGGAGGGGGAGCCGTTGAGGAGGACAGGTGGACTGGGGGTGGCCGCCACAGGGCTGAGGGTGATGGTCTGGTTGTCTGCCAGGGCCAATCCGTTCAGGATGACTCCTCCGCTGGGGGTCTGGATGACCGATCCGCCATTGAGGAGCATCGTGGGAGAGGTGGCTGTGATGAAGTTGCCGTTCAAAAGGATGGAGGAGGCGCTAGAGCAGGAAGCTGGCAAGAAAAGGCTGCCAGAGTTTGGAAGCCCTTCGGGCGTCATGGAAATCCCCAGAGCTGCTTCTGTCTCTTCGGGGCCGCGGCTGGATTCATCTTCTGTGCTAGGATTCCCATCCGACTCGCTGTGGGGATGGAAGAGATGTGGTTATTAGAATTCCCTAAACTACACATATTTGTCATGTCAGGCTGTTGTGGAAAGGTTATAAAATGCTTAATAATACTTTAGGGACTTAAGGCCAGGTTGACATTTGCTTCTAATTAAAAAAGGGAAAAAAGCAACAAATTCATTCGTGTTTCACCTCCTGAAGACATTAAAAGGTTCAGAGTGAGCAGATGGATGCACAACAGAGGAGTCTCAGCACTGCTTTTGAAAACTAACAGCATCTGCTTGGGTGGCTGGTCTGCAGCCTGCTTCATCTGATGCAAAGACAGAAGACGCTTTGCCTAGAAAGTGTCGGGTTCAAATTCCGCTGCATAGTGAACGTGAAGCAACACAGTGACATGAAGCGACAGCCATTCTATGGGCAAGGGGTGAATGCACGAAAGAAGCCCCAGGCAATTCAAAGCCTGGGCTTCACATTTCGCAACAGAAGAGCTGTGCCTGCCACTTTCTGGCTATGCGTGGCTCACTCGAGCAGGAGAGAGAAAAGGAGAGGGCATGCAGCTGCAGAAACATCTGGACTCGCCTGTGCTCCTGCTGCTCCTCCCTCTCCCCCCCCCAACAGTTGGTAGCAGAGGGAATGAGCTGGAACTTTCTCAAGCTTAAGTGGTTTCTGGCTTTTGTCTGCAGAGGAAAGGAGAGCATGCAGACCTTTTATTCCCCCCCCCAACCCTGTGAATCCAACCACAGGGGGGAGAAAAACCCCACACCTCCAACTGAAGATCCTTTCAAACATGCCATGAGTTTTCATTCTTGTAAGAATCCTTCCAAGCCACCCAGGGATGGTGGAGTTGGTGGCAACTGCAGAGGCTGGTGAGAAGCTCTACAAACTTTTGTCAGGGTGGCTCCTAATTCCTGTACTGCAGTCTAATGCTTCGGTCCTCATCCACTGCATCTTTACTGAAAAGCAAGGCTCACTCTGTTCAACGGGCTTAAGCATTTGGGAGACCCACCATGGACTGTGCAAAACAAAACAAATAAACAATGTTCTCTCTCTCTCTCTCTCTCTCTCTCTCTCTGTCCTGCACAATATCCAAAACACAGTCTCAGCTCCAGGTCACCCTTTGCTTTGTTCTCCTTCATTTGTCTCGAACCGAGAAGTGGGAAGACACCCCAAGAAGAACCTGGGACTAGTTCCTATAATTTTCTAGCACTGTGGAGGAAGAACCTCAGACACAGCATAAGCCTGGGGGACAAATTCTTTCTTCAGGGATACAGAATACACACTCCCAGGAAGTAAGACATCCTCATGCTCGAGGATGCTGCAGTTTATTTCTTATTCTTGTGGAAGAAAGGGCTTCATCTTTCCTTGAGGATCTTTTGATTTGTGGAACATTTTGAGAGCAGCAGATGAGACGAGCTTCCAACACAACCGGTTTTCCGAAAGTTACATCACTTGACCAGAGGATCCTTGCAAGTGTGTTATGTTTAGCAACTAAGAACAATGCACAGAGTTTCCCTGAGAGGTTCAAATTCCTTCCTCTTTCTGTTTGCAATTACAAAGATTTGTCAGTGTTTCTGAGATTTCTCTCTTTTACTAATATCTCTCCCACACAAAAAAAGTTCTGAGAAAAGAATGGGCCTTAATTGGGCTGGACTCTGGAAAGTGAAATCTTCAGCATGATACACAAGGGCCTGCCTCAGATAGCCTCCGAACCAACCCCTGCTCTCCTACCCTGAGGTCAGCCCCCCAGGCCTTGGATTCCAACCTGCCTAAAAGCCCTTTCTCCGAATGGTCTGGATGGGGCATGAATTGTCCTGCTGGATCTGACCCTGATCCCAATGCAGTGGTAGAGTTTCCGACCAGGACCTGGAAGATCCATGCTCAGGTTCCCACTGAGCCATGGTGTTCTTTGGGCAACCCTGGGATTGTCACTTTCTCCACCTGGTCTACCTCACAGGGCTGCTGTGAGGATATAATGGGGAGGAAAGCCATAGCTGCTCCCTTAGGTTGGAAGAAAAGCATGCTGTAAATGTAACACACAATTACTATTCCATCTGAAACAGGCTTCCTCGGAAGGAAGTCCGGGCAACGTTGTTATACCCAAGGCCGTGCTCCCCTTTAATGGAAGAAAAGCATGCTGTAAATGTAACACGCAATTACTATTCCATCTGAAAGATTCCATCTGAAACAGGCTTCCTCGGAAGTATAACGTTGTTATACCCAAGGCTGTGCTCCCCTTTAGCAGAGGAGTCCAGCCGGCTGCCCACTTTCTCAGCAGAGTCAGGAGACCAGAAGCCCTGACAGCTCAGTGGTTGAGAGGCTGGGAGTTCGATTCCCCCTTGGTGCCTCCTTGACAGGGTTGGACATGATGATCCTTAGCTCTGTCTGCCCTTCCAGCTCTGCAGCTCTAAGATTATTATACTAGAACTGCTGGATAGCTTGGGGGGGGGGGAGGATTAGGTCTCTTTGGCTGCGGAGCCAGAGGTTGGGAGTTCGATTCCCCCTTGGTGCCTCCTTTACAGGGGCTGGACTCGATAATCCATAGGGTCCCTTCCAGCTCTGTAGTTCTAAAATTAAGAGAAAGCCTGCTCTTGGGTATGGAGGCTCTCGCCCAGGAAGCGCTAGGAGGGAGGCGGCCGCAGGAGCGCTCTGCCCACGCCCGGAGGCGCTCTCTCCAGCTGATGTCTTGGGGGGGGAAGAGATCGGCCAGGTCGGGGAGCGGAGTGGGGGCCCCTCACCTCTTGCTGGGCGTGCCGGCGCCTCTTCCTCCTCCTCCGGCGCCGGCGCCGCCTCCGCTGCGGTCGCGCTGCCGGCGGTTCTTGAACCAGTTGCTGACCTGGGTGAGGGAGAGGCCGGTGTCGCGGGCCAGGCGGCGCTTCTGCTCGGGGCTCGGGTAGCGGCTGCGGCCGTAGGAGGCGCGCAGGGCGGCGCGGGAGCGGCGCTTGAAGCAGTAGACGGTCTCCTCGCCGTCCCAGATGGTGCTGGGCAGCGGGAACTTCTTGCGCAGGCGGTACTTGTCGACGGCGCCCAGCGCCCGCCCGCGTAAGCAAATGAGTTGTAGATGCTATAACTCCATGTACATACATGTCAAATACCAAACAGCTTAGACTGATCGAGTACTTGTAATATTTCATTTAGAGCTGCAGTAATCTTATAACACTCACTGAACCTCAGCTAGTTACATTTACAGATAAACAAAACAATGATTTTGGAAAAAAAATGAACAAACCTATCACCACAGGGATCATCTTTTTAAAAAGTTCTCTGTCTGAGAATGATATCTTCTAAATGATGCTCACCAATCAGAGAAAGGAAACAAGACTGTCACATTTTTTTCCATTACAAGTATTGATTTTCAGAAGAACATACACTTAAATAAAGTAATTATTATTCATATAGCCCATAACAAAAAATGGCAATATTTCTTATTCAAAATCCTATTCATAAGACACTTCAAATTATGTAGAATATACATATAATCTGAGTCTTTATTGATAAATTGAATTTAAATGCAAATCTTATTTATTGTTAAAGAAAGCAGGAGTGTGTGAGAGGTATCCAAGAGCATCTATCAGTAAAATCTGCATCAATTAAAAAAAATGTGTGCCTCCCACCAAAGCAAGCACTGTAAGAATCGTGTTGCAAAAATCAATTTGTATAAATACAATTGTGAAAGGGGTTTCCATGTTTTTTCAGCTGCCCATCATGTGCCCATCACATGACTGCTTGCTTGATTAGCACTTCCAAATTTACAGTGGGTAGTTGGTTAGATGGCACATACCACTTCTACAATTGTCTATTTTTACACTCCATGAACAAATATGACATTAATGAATATAATATTTTATTGAATTGCAGAGCCGGAAGAGACTCTATAGATCATCAAGCCCAGCCACTCTTAAGGAGGCATTCCCCTCCCTTCGACCTTCCTACTTTCCTCTCCTGGGCTCCTCCCAGATCTTTCTCCCTCCCTCCCTCTCTCTTTCTCTCTCTCTTTCTTTCTCTCTGCTTTGCGCCCTGCCCTGCTTCGCCGAGCCCGCGGCCCCGATCTCTCTCTCTTTCTCTCTCTGCAAAGACACCCGCACCCGCCCTCCCCCCCGATCCGGCCCGCAGAAAACTTTGCAAAACTTTCGGGAAACGCGTGCTTGCCATTCCCAAGGCAAGAATTTGTGAAGTCCTAGGCGGCGAGGAGGTCCCCCTGGTAACGCCACAAGGACGTGGAAACGTGGCAGAGGCAGAGGAGGGCGCTCGGAGCGGAGAACGCCCGCCCGTGGAAACGCCGGCCTTCGGTGAACGCGAGGCTGCCTTTTGTCCCGCGAACGCGCGTCCGTAAAAGCCAGGGTGGTCTTGGGGCACAAGCTCAACAAGCCATCTGCCAGGCCCGTGGAAAACCCGCAGGAGTGGGCCCTCCGGTTGAGCCAAGGGGCCCGAGGCTGATTTGAGGTGCGGGCCAAAAGAACAGCTCCCCCATTCCAGCTGGCCTGGGGCCTAAATATTGACCACCCCTACCAATCACATAATGTGGAGCCTGAAAATGTTACTTTCCCTACCACAACTTCCAGAATTCCTAGGGAATCCTCAGAATTCCCCGGGATTCTGGACTCTGTAGTCCACAAAACTACTTTCCCAGGCTCTAGCCAAGACATAATCATCTATCCTACATGATGGTGACAGGTTAACTTCAGGTGGGGAGACAAAGCAGGTGCCCCAGGAGAAATAGTGTGGGGGGGGGGACTGTGGATACCAACTCTAATATCTGCCACCTAAGGCAGTTGTCAGATTTGTCAAAGATCTAAGGCAGTAACAGCTTTGCTCAATGTTTGCCCAATTCCTGTATTGGTGACCCTCCCTTTCAGTGTCTCTTTTTGCTTTCTTCTCACACCAACGCTCTGAGGTAGATCAGGAGAGGGGTGACTGATTGGCCCAAGGTTAGCAAGGGAGTTTCATGGTCAAGCGCCAGAATTAGATATGCAAAGGAAAACTTTATTCACATTCCAAATAATGTACATTCTAGATGTGCTTCCCTTTTTAACGTGTTCTCAAAATTGCCCCTGTTTTGCCACTTGAGAGAGCACTCCTTCTACAAACAGATTTCTTCAGAGATGTGCCTTAGCTGGTCACCTCGCACTCCTCTGCTTTGGCTTTCTTCTGAGTTTGTACCTTAATGCGTTGCGTTACTGCCAGTCCAGTTCATTGGGGTTTGGGGAACCACATATTAAAAGAGAACTTTTGGGGTTCTTTTTTCCCCCTGATTCAGATGCCAAAATACCTTTTGGGGGGGGGGATTGTGCAGGCTATAAAAACCACACCTCATCCCATATAATGTTCCTGCAATGGAGAATGTCCCCCTCTACCAGTAGGTTCTGATGGTATTTCTCCAGGCTGGAAAAGCCACCCTGTCTTAGCAAAGGCTACCATCTTTTACTTCTCAGTAAACATGGGAGGCATCAAGCTGCACACGCTCATTCTACGAAAGTATGTGTATGTACGAATGTTTGCTTAATTGTTTTGGCATGGTTTTTTGGCACAGTCTCCAGGGGACTGCCTGTGTAGAACTATGCCAGGCCTGACTTTCCTGTTTTAAAAGTGGCTGGGAAATTTAAAGGAAGACCTAAACAAAGTAAAATCTGGCAAAATCACTGTTTGGAATGTAATCACTGGAAACAGTAATTCAGTTTGATGCCCTCCACCCAGCTTGGGCTAATGCCTTATGAACTGGGGGTGTGACTTGCCTATTGAAAAGCCTAAGTGAAGCGCTCTCTGTTGTTTGGTTTAATTCATTAATAAAATGAAATACACTCTGTTTAATGAGCTACTTCTTCTTTATATACTTCGCGATTCTAGTTTTAGACTGCCTTGAGGACTTAACGGATGTGAAGTGAGATTATAACCTGTAAACAAATAGTAGATCTATTTTAGATGTTGAAATAGAGATTACAGGATGGGTGTTTATTCGGTGCCTTCCCTTGTTGATTTTCTGTGTTTCACCCCTTGACTTCCAGCCCTGCAGGTACTTTCTCTGTCATGGTTTTTCTGATTTCCAGTTGCTCACTTTTAAAAGACTACTGTTGGCATTCTTTCCCACCCAGACCTAAAAAACAACAACAACCCGGGAAAGGCTCTTTTGATAGTTGTGTGACAGGCAAGCATTCCACACCGTCAAACCCCCTTTTTTACATCTCATCAATTAAAGGCTTTAGTGTGCTTTTTGTTGTTGTTGTGCTCTGACGCATCTCGCAACGGGGGAAGAGGATGTTGTTCCCTTTGACCGAGGAAACCATGGCGAGCCTAATTACTGGATTTGCCTTGCTTTTTAAAAATAGCTTTTACTTTTATGCAAATATGAAGGGAGAGGGCGTCTGGAGAATCAGCAAGAGTCTCAGGTTATGGGGTAGAATGAAGCATCTCTTTATAGCTAGGACCTAAAAAAGGAATCGGGAAGTTCCCGGTACCTTCTTGTTGCTCCCAAGTTATAGCAACCGTATGAATTCGTGGCTGTGGAAAGATCCTCTCATTAATAGCTCCGCTCAGCTCTAGCAAACAGACCTGTGGCTTCCTTATTGAGTCAATCCGTCTCCTGTATGTCTTCCTCTTTTCAGCTCTCAGAAGGTGAAGGGAAGAAAACTGTGCTGCCTATTTAAAGGAAAATAAGTATCCAGTGGATCGTATTTTTAAATAATGCTGGGAAGTGTTAAGTGTTACATTGTAGTTTTAGATCTTTCCTGTTAGATCGCCGGAGTAACTTGCAGTTTCCAAGAGGAACACAAGATGCCACTGTTGCAATGGGGAAAACGGAACATTTTCGGCCTTTCCAACCAGCGTCTCTAAGAGTGTGGAGAAATAAAAATAAAAACAAGCCAACATCCAGAATTAGCAACCCCTGTTTGCACAGAAGAGGAAGTCCAGGTAGAGTTTTTTTTATTACATCCACTTAACAAGAAGTAACCTGGGGTCCAGAAATGAATTCTGAGCTTCCTGATTTCCTCTATCTGCTTCTTTTAAACAAGGGAGATGCTTTACCTGTGGGTCTCCTGCCTTGCCCGGGGTTAGCCGAAATGACCTTCGAGGATCCTTCCATCTCTACAGTTTTTGAGAAGACTTGGAATGATAAATCCCAACAATGGAGGTGTTCTGGATTTCTGACCCTTTTAATTTGGGTAGGTGGGAGACTGGGGTGGAGTAAATGTCAGTTGAATCATTCTGAGTTGTGTTTTAGTTCTCAAATAGGGAAATAAAATTTGCAGCCAGTTCTTTTGCCTCCCTCTGGAAAATAAAATGGCCAGTGCATCACCAGAAGTGAACCATTGTCTTTCCATGCTCCCCATTCACTGGCAAGAAGGCCTCTCCCACTTTCCTTCTTGGAATGCAAAGAAGGCATTTGCAAGACCCTGTGTTAGCCCAGAGGGAGTCCAGCAAGTTGGCTTAGTAGCCAGAAGGCGGCAATGACTATAAATCTAAGCAAACAAGGCAGCTGAGGTGGGGGTGGGAGTCAGCACAAGCTGTTCCCTGGGCAGCCGAAAATCCTGGCTTCTCTGTCCCTCGATTTAGGCTTCTGGAATGTCTCTGTTGTTCTAAACTTAGCACGATGGAGACCAGCCAGAAGGAAGAGTTGGGGCTAGAGAAGAGGGTGATCGCCAGCAGATCTTGGAGAAGTTTCTTTGGGGCACTACAACTCCCAGAATGCTGGCTGGGGGATTTTGGGCGTCACAGTCCCCAAAATAAATAAGTAAATACTGTAAATAAAGTTGCTGTCCAGGCAGCTGGGCCCAGGGTCCCGAATCAATCACACCACAGTGCTTTCAGAGCAAGGCCGGCCCTACCATTAGGTGGAACGAGGTGGCAGTGTAGAGAACAGCCTCTGGGTATTCTGGAAGGGTAGTAAACTATGAGCTCCTTCATGTGCAGAGTTTGGAGGTCTTTAGAACCCCATGGATAGGAAGAGAAAGGTTCTGGTGGGGTTTTCTTTCTGAGATGGCAAAATAATCTGCCTGACTCCGGGGCCCATGTGTCTGCTTACATTGGTGTGTATGTGGAGGGGGAACACCCTTCACTGCTGTGCCTCAGGCAGCAGAAAGTCTTGGGGTAGTCCTCTCTAGGAAGGGCTTCAGGCACTAATCCACCTTTGTAGGACTAGGAAACCACTGGTCCTTTCAAGAACGATAGGAAGGGGGCTAAATTTGGATATCTGGCACTCATAGTGATCTCAATAACTTCTTATGCCAAGAATATCCTTATTTATTCTGTTCTTTTTGTGGATGTGCCTCACTATTATTTTATTTCAATTTATTTTAATTGATCGATGGGTTGATTTAATACACCACCTTTGTCTTGGGACAGGGGTATACATGGCTGGCAATGAGGTTAAAAAAACAGTTATCACAAAAACACAGTAAGTTACAAATATTAAGATGCAATTAAAAACAGCAGAATCATCGGATGCAATTAAAATTGCGACACTGAGGCATCTCAGTTCAAATACAAGTAATAATTTGCATTAAAAATGAAAGTGATCCTGTGAGGTCCCTGTTTTCTCACTATAAAAATATTATTGAAAACATCGTTACATTGATTAAAGCCCCTTGGCTAGCATCTATTCTGTAGTTCAAAACAAAACAAAAAAATGAAACAAGAAAAAAAACACACGCTCTGGCTCTGTGGGCATTCCAATGGGAAATATTTCCAGTAGGGCTGGCTTTTAAAATAACGTGTGACGCAGATACTAAAATGCTGTGGGCATCTTATTGTGTTTGCCCGTTAGGGCACCTCTAATTGGAAAGAAGTCTGTCCCTAGTTAAGCCTCCTTTAATACAAGTCAAGCTTTGAGTTTGCCATCCTTCTGATTTCCCATCCTACAGTTCTGTAAACGTCCTTTTTTGGGTGAGGAGGGTCCCTTGAATGTAGACTGGGTTATGGTCTGTCTAACAGGTGGACCTGTACATAAATTCACACCCTTAACTTTAACTCGGTGGTGTTCAGCTGCCTTGCGGTCTTACACTTAGTGCCCATGGGGAGTAAACCCCCAAAAAGACGGGTCTGGGAGGTTACAAAGGGGAGGCAAAAATGACCATTCTGTACCCCTTCACCAACACAATGAAAAGCTTCAGTCCAGTTTTCCCAGTTCCCCGCAAACAGACTTGCTGAATTGATGGGATTTGTGTATTTGTGAGCTTGCCCTTCAGCCGTTGACTGGGGCTAGCAGCCAAAGTGGCTGCTGGAAAATTAAACAAGTTTCATTTGCCCTTTTAATGCTTGTAGCAGTCGCAGAGGACAAATACGGCAGAATTGGGTGCTGTGCATGAATTAAGCAGAGGACAGAAACCATTTGGCACTGGTTTCATTAGCAGCGCCTCTAGGCCATTTTTTAGAGGTTCCTATAGACCTGGAGGGATTCGGGGGAAAGTCGAGGCCTGCTAGCTTACCAGGAAAGGAAGAGGCAATGAAGCAGTTAAACAGGGAGTCCAGCCTCTTGGCCTGCAACTTCATTCCAGGGAACTTTAAATGGGCATGGGAGTTGTTTGTGCCTCCGGCGGTCCGGGCCCTGGCACACAGAAGCTTCCCAGGCTGGGCAGAGCCAAGCTGAACTGAGCTGAGTGGTCCGAGGTGTGCTGGTGCCCAAGGGAGGAACGGGGGCCCCTCTGGGTTAAGCTGGTGGCACGCTGAGCCGGGGCTGGGAAAGAGAGGAAGGGAGAAAGAGGCGGTTGGCGTTTTCCCTGGGAGTGCAACAGGCAAGAGCCAGACAAGAGGGGTGTGTGTGTGTGTGCGGGTGTGGGTGTGTTTGTGTGTGCCCCTTGTTTGTCCCTCTGTGCATGCCAGGGAAGGAGGAGAAGAAGGCCGGTTGTGTGTTTCTGGAGAGCAGAAAACGCTTTGGGGGGGAGTGTGAGTGTGTCAAAGTGAAGGCCAGGAAGAGAAGGCAGGAGGGACAGTGTGAAAAAGCAGGGGAGGAGCGTGTTTGTTTGTGTGTGTGTTTAAGGAAAGAGCAGGTACACACTCCGCGAAGGGTGCTAGAGGGGAAGGGAGAGTTGATGTGAGGACGTGTGTGTGTGAAAGAAGGAGTAGGGACTTTTGTCCAGAGGAGAAAAGTTAGGACCGGTGTGCCAGGGTAAGACAGAAAGAGGGCAGAACTGAGGTTGGCAGGCTCTCTCTCTCTGTGTGTATGTGTGCACGTCTGTGCAAGGAAGAGGGTAGGAGGGACGGCAGAAATCAAAAGGCTCCCAGGTTTGTCAGTCGCCCCCAGCACCACTAGACTGGGCCTCTCTTGAAATAACCTTTTGACGTGCAGAGGGGCTCCTGTGCGTGTCTTTTGGAGTTACACAGGTCTCTGGCAACGAGTAACTCCTCTCCATCCTTCACGCCCACTCTGGAGCAATCGGTGGATTTACCGAAGCAGGGGTGACCTCCCAAGAAGGAGATGAGGCTGGCTCTCATGGAGCAAGAGAGGACTCACCCGCCCGCATAGGGGATCCAGGCCGCGACAGCCACAGCCAGCCTCCATTGGATGCAGCTGGAGGCCAAGGGGCCGCCGGGGAAACCCCTGGCCCCTGCCTGGCCCCCGCCATGGCTGCCGAGGTGCGCCTGAAGAAGATGGAGGAGCTGGTGCTAGACCGGAGCGTCATCGGCCTGGAGACCTTGGTAGACCTTCTGCTCTGCGTTCATCATGAGCTCAGTACCTCACCTCTGGCTCAGGAGAAGTACATCAGAGAATTTCTACAGTGGGGTGAGTCATCCCGGCTTGTAACTGCCACTACCCTGCGTCCAGTGGGTGCCCGTGGCCAGACAGGGGAAGCGCTTGTCAGCTGGAAGAGAGAAGGTTTTGCTTGCTTGCTTGCTTGCTTAAAACCTTTTCCTTTTTCCCCCCTTTCTTCTTTTAAATCTTTTTGGCTGTTGATATACCATTAACCATGGCTAGATAGCTCAGAGGTTTAGGCATCTGGCTGAGGAGCCAGAGGTTGGGAGTTCGATTCCCCCACTGGTGCCTCCTGGGAGAAGAGCCCGCCTGGGTAGCCTTGGGCCAGCTGAGCAGTCGTCCCAGGGCACCCCTAGAAAAAGGGGATGGGAAACCACTCTCTACCTGGAAAACCCTAAAAAGGATCACCATAAGTCAGAAGTCACTTGATGGCACATGATGATGATGATGATGATGATAGGTGATTTTCAACTGGTGGTACCTGTACCTTTGGTGGTACGCAGCAAGAGCCTTGGTATGATGAACAGACAAGCTTTTCATACGAAGTGCTAACATTTCTCTCCACCTTAATCTCCATGCTAGTGAGTTAATGAGATTACTTCCCACTCTCCTAACAGATGTTTTTAATTGTTTGAGTTTCTTTTCAATAATACGACAGCAGTTTTTAGTGTCCTTAAAACTTACTGCAAAAAATTAAAAAGAAAAAAAAAAGAAAGAAAGACTAAATACAGTAGTGTAACAATATAAGCACAGAAAGCATATTTCTCAGCAGAAGTAGGCCCTTAATTTGTGTCATGGCTGGACCAAGCCTTTCTGGGATGCAAAATGAGGCAAGTCCAGAATCGGTGCCACAGACAACTTTCCGTGGGCATGTGTGGGCAGCTGGGAAAAACTGTGAGATACGGACAACTTTTGCAGAACTAATTTAACATATGGTCTGACTCTTAAACTCTTAGTCCTGAAATAGGAGATACCTCTTTTATGACATGCGTATGTTATATAGGGAGCCTCCCTGAGGTTTTCAGAAGGATTCACAGCTGTTATCTTGATCCTCTTTTAGAAAGTGGGCCATGACTAATAACAGTTGATGGACTAGACTAGACCCTAACCTTTTTGTAACCCCACAAAGTCATCCACATAACAGCTCTGTGACAGGGACCTTAATGTACCCATTTCACAGACAGACCAAGAAATGACTTACCCACTGCCCTTTGATAGGTTCTCAAGCTAGCTCGGTCATCAACATAATTTGTGAACTATAGAAATGAAGGTGGTAGCAGATATTTTGGTGGACAAAAGTAACGTTTTGCTACCGATGCTACACAGCTGCAAGGATAAGGAAACAACAGAGAATCACAGAACGGGAAGGGGCCCAATAAGGCCATTGAGTCCGACCCCTTGCTCAAGGCAGAATCCAAATCAAAGATGGTTTTCTCTTGAATGCCTTGATTAATACTTGCAGAATACTGAGTTCTCCTTTTTTGCTGACTTCACAAAGGGTTGTCTGTTTCCATCTCAAGACACGCCCAAAAAGAGAAAAACATCAAGAAGCCGCTTCACCCAAATTGGGAAATTCCCCCATCCAAGTTATAGTTTGGGGTGATCTCAGACATCAAGCCCCTTGTTCTGGGGCACCAGAAATCCAATCTCCCTTCAGGTGGGAAGCGTGACTTAATGATTGAGTGGATGTACAGTATATGAAATCCGGTTACACATCAGCAGACCCTAAATTTGAGGAACCGGTGCTGACCCTTTCCCTTTCAGTCTCAACTCTTGAGGGCAAATCCCGGATCCCTATAGCGGATATTCAGAGACCACAGCCGTTGGGCCCCACTTTAACTGCTATGGATCCATCCTTCGAAAAGCTGGGTCTTGTAGTTTGCCGAGGGGGCTTAGAGGTCTCTGCCGAAAAGCTCCCGTGTTTGAATTCAGGACATGCATGAGAAAATTCTAAGCTCTTTCCCCAAACTACAAACCCCAGGATTTCATAGGACCGAGCTATGACACTTGAAGTGGGATCGGACTGCCGTAACTGTATAGTGTAGATACTCTCTTAGAAACCTGGTTTGCTCCTAATTCCTCTCTGCTCGTTTCTCCCCAAGCTTTCTCTTCCTCCCAGTGTCTTCCCTCTTGCTGCTTACCTACACAGTTGTTTCTTTCTTTATACCACCGTCTTATCTCCGGTTTGTTGAGTTTGCCAAGGGTGAATTTTGCCATGCGAACGCCTGGCGAGCCTTAGCCATTGCAGAGCCCATTGTCAAGAAGACAGGCCCGATTCATCTTCACCCTCCACTCTGCCCTTTCATATCCCCGCCCTGTGCCAGCAACTGGCACCACCAAATCAAGCCTGCAAAAGTGGCATGCCCCCTCCCCTCCAAGTTGGTTTACAAGCCTGCTGTAAAGCCTGTGTCCACATTAGCCAAGCTGGCAGCTTTGGGTTGATCTCTTTCTCCTCCTAGGTGTTTGGAAGGAATCCCCTGGCTGACAAAACAAATTACAAATGTCACCAATAAATACTTTGTGCCGCTTATAAACCTCAGACTGTTGTGTCTGAAGAAGGGGTTTGTAATCCACTAAAATTCACGTGGACATAAATCTGTTAGTCTTTTTAAATTGCTACAATTCTTGGGTTTCTATTTTTGTGCTGAAACAGAGTAACACGGGCTACCTTGTTGAAAACCCGCTTTGTCTTAAATTAAATGTGCCGAATGAAAAGCAAACAGAAAACAAAAGTACTCGTGCAGGTTTAAGAAGGAATAAAACGCACAGATGAGTAATGTCTGTATTAGAACCAGCCAAAATGCCAGGAAAGCTTTTATTTGGCTGGTTCCAATAAAACTATTTGTCAAATGAAGATGTGTGCCCTGTGACGAGCTCCTGTTTGCCGTTCAGCAGCTGTGCTGTTTGAGGATGATCGGCGGTGTGAGCCGGCGCATCTAGAAGGTCCCATTGCTGTGGAAAGCTGTCTGTCGAAATTTCTTTCTCAAAAATTCATAGATATTGGTGTGTTGGCGAGTTGCTGTTGAGAATGTCTGCACACGCCTTTTTGATTCACAAGGATGTTAGCCGTTGTGCTTCCAAACTGATATGAGACGTTTTGTGGTCTAGATCGAGATGCTTTGAATGAGACCCAGACAGAGGTTTCCATATTTTTTTTTTCTTCTATTATCCTCACTTGCTTGAAAGATGCTTTCACCCTTGTCGGTAAGCAACATGCAGCCAGAGCTTAGAAAATTCACTTCCACCTCCAAAAATCTCCCCGGCTACATGTAGTCCAAAAGGGAAACGTTTCAAAGCATGGACTCCCATGCTGGCGCTCTCTGGACCTTCTGAAGAAGCAGTCTGTGAGTCCACAAAAACTCGTGTTGTGTCATAAATCTCTTAGATTCAAGGTGCGACACGGCGGTCAGTGACTTTGCTGCTGCAGACTGACGTGGCTTTCCCACGGAATTGTGCTTTAAGCGTCCTCTTTTCCAGAAGAGTAGACCTGGAGAAGGAAAGGGTGTTTGTGAGCCTGGAAGCCCTGCCTAGATCTTGCTGTGAAGTCACTCATTTGCTGGCCTCACCTTCAGCATCCTTACCAGGGTCGTTTAGCCCACCTCGTTTCTACAACTCACCCCATAGACTGCTTCCTAGCTGAGCTGTGCCCTGGCTGAAATTTTTTTTTCCAAGAGGGGCCCCAACAGAAACATGGGCTTATTAGGTTCTCGGCAGTTGGCTGTCAGGGTTTAATTCTGGAATTTAGATCGTTCTTGACAGATGTCAGCATGTTGCAGAGAGTTGGAAGCAGACGGAAAGGTGCCTGTGCACCAGCAAGAAGTAGTTAACCCTTGCCCATGTCCTGTTGTCACTCCAGCAACCTGTGTGGGGGGTGTGTGTGTGTGTTTGTGTGTGTTTGCGCATGTCCATTTGGCAGCTAGACTGTTCAGCATATTCAGTGCTTAAGCAAAAAGGTGCTACCTTTCAGGTACGCCTGGTACTGTCAACCTAGTTGCCTTCTGTTCTATTTATTTATTTTATTTATTTATTTTATTTCTATCCCGCCTATCTGGTCATACTAGACCACTCTAGGCGGCTTACAATCGGAGCAACAATAAAATTATTAAAAACATTACAAATAGACAGAAATAGAAATCAAAGAATATAAAAGAAAAATCATCAGGGATTATCTGTTGGGAAAGCCTGCCTTTACATCAGTGTTCTAGTGGCAGATGTGTGTGTCATTAATGAACAGGGAGAGAAGCACTTTGCATGTCCCCAGTGGCACTCTCATTCAGCCTCTCTGGCCCATTCATCACTGCACCACAAATCTCCGGGGCCTGCCATTTTATGGTCTACAAATCCTTTTAATGGTGTGCTGCCATAGGCTGGGGAACTCAAGTGAAAAAGCCTGTGTGTTCCGTTGGCAAAGGGAGCACCTTGAACACTTTGAAAAACACGGCAGCGGTGTGGCTTGAAAGAGAGAGAGAGAGGAAGGAGGGGTAAAAGAAAGAAAGGCCGTCTCCATCACTCTCTCACAACGCTGTAGCAGAAATGTGTTTTGGGGGAGAAGAGGAGGAAGGAAAGAGTGTGTGCTGAGTATTCTTGTCGTTTCCCCCGAAACCCCTGCAGCCACCACCACCAGCCACCCTCAAAAAGCAAGCCCCGGACCCCATCCCTTGGCTGTGCACACTGCCTTTTGTGGACAAGATGGCACAACCTAGCCCCCCTGCCCACCCCACCCCACCCCACTTCCCGAGAAGATCCGGGTCTCTCTCTGTGTGTGTGAGAGAGAGTGTGTGTGTGTGTTGTTCCTGGGCTTATGCGGTGTGTTGCTGGGACTTTGTGAAACTCCATAAAAGGAGACCTGCTTTAGGCACAGCTGGGGCCCCGTTTCCCCTCCCTTTTCCCTCTTGTTCCCTCTTGGTTCCAGGCTGTGGGGGAGAAAAAGCAGCCTCCTCTTCTTTCTGGATCCCGGCTTACAAAATTGCTGATCTCCAATCAGGGCCTTGCCTCCCTTTAGGTAGGGTGAAGTGACCTGCAACAGATTC